TCAAAGTTGGAAATTAAAAACTGTTTTCCTATAATTACTCGTGTATTTAATGAGATATTAATATCAAAATTGGTACATTACTTCAGCACAGAGTTACATCGTGTGAGGAAAACAAAACAGAAAATGATTGTCAAATATTCAAAATACTGGGGGTCAAGTACACACCCCCATATTTTTTTTGTACGTGCGCTAATGACTTCAAATCTATTTTTCATCAAGTGTTCAATCATGTTTGAGTATTTTTCGTCTCTTGTTAAATTTCGATAAAATTATTTGTTTTTAAAATAATTCGAAAAGTACTGGTTATTGTTTGATGCCTATGCGGCTTACGGTAATCTAATAATGTTCACATACTCCTATTTTTTTCGTCGAAATTTGAAGAGGGCGTAACTTTTTACGTACGAAAAGGTAAATAGGGAAATACCGGGTGCTCAGAGCAAATGTATTGAAATAATTTTTACAAAAAAGAAATAGATAGAAATTCAACACGTCTTAATAAATTGCTCGATATGACCTCCAATTTTTTGAATACACATGCGAGCCCTTTTAATTAATTTAGATCATGCCAATGTATACTTTTCGTCTGCAAACACTATTTGTCCGCTGCAGGGTTGCCAGTTCTACTGAATTTTCAGTAAATTTCCTGATTTGCATATTGATCTACCGATCTACTGGAACATTTCATAACCTACTGATAAATATTTTGACACTTATTTATTATTATAAATTATTATATTGAATATTATTATCAATTTTTAGTAATCACACATACTTATAAATTGCATGATATTTCGGCAGGCTCTGTTTAAATTAATTTTACAAAATAAGTAATAAATAACGTACATATAGGTACTAATGATAAATATGTATAAATCAGAAAAGGACAATACCTCATCTGATTCAGATCAAATTCAATTATTTATATACCTTTGTTATAACAGTTTGTTTCTTACGTTTATTTTTTTTTATTTGTTTTTTGTATTCTTCTTTTAAATTTTCACTATACGTTCCTATTTTTTATATAGGTACTCAACTATTAATCTTAAGTACCCATGTAACTGTATTTTGTGATATTTGTTAGTATTTTTAAATTGAGGATATTTTTTATGAGAATGTTTCTTTAGTTTGTTTCTATTTTGTTGGATTCTTTTCTGTATACTAAATGTACATAATGTTGTGACGTCATGTCATAGGTTCATTTCATTATCCTTGCTAGGAATTCGTATAGCATAAAATATACCTGAATTTTCTACAAGGTATTTACTGATGAAATAAAAATCGAACTGGCAACTCTGGTCCATGCGGAGAGTGAGTTGACAACAGCTGTCATTTGCTGTTGTCAAATTGATTGTTCACGAAAAACTCAGTGTTTGAGTTCGACGAAAGAATGTTATATGCACCTCGGCGAAAAACTGTCTATTGTCTCGCCTGATTACTGCAGATTCGACTATAATAGACAGTTTTTTGTCCTTGGTACATAAATGACTATTCAAGCCAAACTATCCATTTCTGAGGAATCTCCTGAAACAGGTCGATACTTATTATCAATTTGCCACATTCAAAACGGAAAATTGCATATAAAGGGTGATTCACGTTTGAGTTAAGGAGAGTACCAATTTGCTTTCAAAAACCCTCTCTGCAAAGGAGGTAGACGCTAGATGGGTTAGGTATATATAGTGTTTTTCATCGCAGTGAAAATTGCTGCTTATCTGCCTGGCTCGTATTCATTGAGATAGTTGATTAATTAATAAATTACGGAAATATATCGCATTCCAGTTACGAATGTTGAAATAATATCAAGACTCTTCATTCCATGTTCGTCTCACAATACAAATTTCAAATACATACTTAGTTTTAGGTCCGAGCAGCACAGTGTTTGGGATTCCAGGTCTTTATTATAAATCACGTCAAGTGGAAATGTGGATGAAGCCTACTGAGGAAACTTCTATTCGGAAGCAAAACTCATATGCTGCAATCAACTACGAACGTAGCAAAAATATTCAGGGGAGATTCTAATTCAACATCCATGTATGTACAGCATATGATAATGATCATTTTTTATTCATATGATTCGATATTTGATATGTGATGTGCAGTTGCAGATCCGAGAAGCACAGTGTTTGATACTTGAAACAAAATCCGAGAAAACCATCTAGTCAAGTCGAACCGAAGGAACGATCCACAAAGAGAAATGACCAGAGTATACTTCTTTAAATGTAGATCAAAATGTTCGTACGGAAGGCGATATATTGATTTCTTTTCCAGAATCTCAAGCAAACAGATAGACAGATATTCACCTTTATGTCTCTATGGAAACACAACAGGTACCCTTACGAGGGGAGAGTACCAACTTTGCGTTCATAAACCCTCTCTGCAAAGGAGGTAGACGCTAGATGGGTTAGGTATATACAGTGTTTTTCATCGCAGAGAAAATTGTTGCTTATCTGCCTGCCTCGTATTCATTGAGATAGTTGATTAATTAATAAATTACGAAAATATATCGCATTCCAGTCAAGAATGTTGAAAACAATATGCAGACTCTTCATTCCATGTTCGTCTCACGATTCAAATTTCAAATAGTTACTTAGTTTTAGATCCGAGCAGCACAGTGTTTGGCATTCCAGGTCTTGATTATAACCCACGTAATGTGAAGATGTGGATGAAGTCTACTGAGGAAACTTCTATTTGGAAATAAAACTTATATGTTCAAATCCAACTACGAACGTTGCATAAAATATTCAGGTAAGTTTCTAATTCAACATCCATCATGAACCACATCCAATAATAATCATTTTTGATTCATATGATTCGATATTTGATATGTGATGTTAAGTTGCAGATCCGAGAAGCACAGTGTTTGATACTTGACACAAAATCCGAGAAAACCACCCAGTCAAGCCGAACCTAAGAAACGATCCACAAAGAAAAATGACCAGAGTATAATACATCTCTAAATTCAGTTCACCATGTTCGTACGGAAGGCGATATATTGATTTCCTTTCCAGATCCTCAAGCAAACAGATATTCACCCATATGTCTCCATGTTCGTCTCACGATTCGAATTTCAAATTGATACTTAGTTTTAGGTCCGAGCAGCACAGTGCTTGGCATTCCAGGTCTTGATTATAACCCACGTAATGTGGAATTGGGGTGGAGCCTACTGAATAATCAGATGAAGCCTGGTCAATAATACTTATTGGGTGTTGAAAATACGAGTCTGAATATTGTTTTTTGATGAAAAGTTCGAAACGGTTTGAGATTAATAAACAAAATATTTTTTGTATGTTCTGGTTCCCACGAAAAGGCATAACCTGTAATGTTCAGAGGACATCGTGAGAACCAAGGGAAATAAGGTAGGAGTTGGTGTTCTTCTTAAATTTCTGGAGGTTATATGCCTCGGGGAACACAGATACTAAACTTTTTACGGTCTATAAGATGAAGAGTATTTCACAATGTAATTCAGTGGCGGCTGAATCTGGGGGTGGTGAAGGAAAAAATCACCCCAACTTTTATTTGTGCATCTCTTTCTCACTTTGTAGTTCAAAATCTGATTTCTCATATTGTTAATCCGGTTCAATTCGAAAGCGTGGTAAGGCATTGAAATAATACAACAGAACTATTATATGCAGAAATCTATCTGTCCTCACATTTTGTACTCGAAAATCTCGAGATACATCTAGAAATAGTATTTATGGAAAAGATTAATGACTTCATTCAAAAATCTGACTACGCCACTCGATTCTACGTGAAACAATTTCTCTCCAAATGCCGTTTGAACCAAAACTAGTCCCACTTGTAATAAAGGTTCGTGGTCGACCGACTGACTGCGACTGTTTGTTTTTTTTTTTCTCTCCAAGCGGCAGGAAATGTGGCTTTTCTCTGCCGCATAACAGGCAGAAAAGGTGTACTTTCTCTGCATAGGCAAGAAAAGTTTGTTGTGTATTTTTTTAAAATTTTTCGGTCGATTTTGAGGTGCCAAAATCATCACGTCACGGTAATTTTCAAACGGCTAGAAATTTACCGCGAGTAAAAACTGACGTCACGATTTAGTAAGTAGGGGCTGACCATAGCACTGTTACAATATGTTGAAATACGATTGGAAATTTCAGAAGTATTAGTTATTCAATAATCCATTATTCCATATCCATTATTTACATAAAATCTCAGAAGCGAAGCAGGTTATGATCATTTTTTGCAATTTACTATGAGTTACAGACAAATAAAGTAGGCAACTTTCGCTGAATCTCTATATGCAGTGTGTCCCGAAATTACATAAAAATATTTCAACCACAGGTTCTAGCAGCAAGAATAGAAAAAAAATCATATAAACATGAGCCGAGGTGATGGTCTGTAAGTAATGAGATATTCCAGCATTAACTATGCAATTTTCGGCAGTTTGAAATATGAAATATGAAAATATCATCATTTTGAAGTAAAAATGATAGGCTTGTTTAGTTTCCATAGCACTCACCATTTTCCAGATAAATGGCATTTGAATGTCTGCTGCATAACAAAAATAGTGTTTTTCCTTATAATAGGGTACCAAATTTTTCCAGAAATTATGTTGTGATGGAAAATACCTGAGTATCTATTATTGTAATAGTGAAGGACTTTGAACCTTATGGGTATGGAATCTTTGAGGGAATCTCTATGTAGTTGTTTCAAATATACAACCTTTTAGGTTTTTTATTAACTGACAGTTTCAGAGTCCATAATGTATAGAATGATGACAACAGTGCCAACACCTATTGTTGCTGGTGAATAAATATTCATATTTTTGACAGTGTGGGAATTAAAAATTCTAATCAGATCAATTTTCCTTCTAAGTATTTTAATAAGGATCTTCGGATATTAGATAACACGTTTCAGCTCGCGTTTCAGTAAAAATGCATTGAAAGAATATATATGTATATACATGAAACCAAGATGAAACCAAATAGGTATATGCTCGGGTATATGGGTTTCTACAACTATGTTCAAACTGTTGGAATGTCACTTACCAGTATTAAAACTCATTTCAGGATAATAATTGTTCATCATGGGGAAACCATTTTGAATACTAAAATCAAAGGAGTGTCTTAATTCTTCAAGAAAATCTTGAGGTAAATCTTCAATCTTGATACCCATATCTGGTATAATAGAATTGATGAAATCTGTTGATTTTGGATCATTATCATCAGAGCACATATTTCTCAGAGCTCTAGAAATTTCTAGACGTTTTTGTTTCATAATTTGTTGAATTGGCTCATCATAACCAGTAGAATTGGAATTGATTAAATTTCTTTTCTTCCCTTTATTTAGGTTTGTTAAATGATACATTATTTTATTATGGATTTCTTCCACACTGTATGTATGTTCTTTACTTTTATTTTTACTTATTTTTGAGGTATTCTTTGGGGTTTTCTCAGTGTTAATTTCTTGTTCCTTCATTGATTCAAGGCTGTTATTTGGGCTATTATCTTGTATGGATTTGGCTATGATGTTTTCTTCAGGATTCAATATCTGTCTCATAATTATGGCACTGGTCTGCTTAATTTTCTGCATTGTATGTTCTTCACTGCCAAGATGAGCAGGGGAAGTTGTAGGTTTACTTTTCTTCCATACATATTTTTTATGTCTACCCCGACCTATACTAATTACTTGATAATCTGATGTTTTTGTTGTATGTCCTGAGGATCTATCATATCTGTTATTCATAGCAGTATTTTCTTGTTTTCTGTAAGTACTATCAGGTGAATATTTTCTGAAATTAAAACATTTTATTTTAGTTTTGTTGGAAGTTGATTTGAGTGCACAAAAGTAAGCACTAGGTATTTTCATCCACATTTTCCTCGACTTTTCAATTACCTGTATCTATTGAAATTTGAGTATCTTTCATCTGGAACAACTTTAACATTGGGTTTTGTTGGTGAATAAGATCGAGAAGTACCATGTTCTCTTTTTCCTCTTTTTCCCATTTTATTTTTCAAACTTCAAATTCAAATTTTCCAACCTCAAAAAATGATAAGCTATGTATACAACCACGACAGTCGTAATCGTAATTTTTTACAGTGAGTGGTGACTAGATTGCTGGTGAGTTGCCTCTAATCTCCAAAGTGAAAAAGTGCCTACATTCGTGTTTTGCATCCCAAAAAAATCCAAATATCAATTTTTGAAGTTCAAAAATGTTCACAAATTCTGAGAAATTCGATTTTTATTCTTCCACTTTACCACCCTGTATCTCGGAAACAGAACAATTTTGGACAGAGATGAGTTGCTCCAAATCGGCTTATCTTGACCTCAGGAATATGTGCAAAGATTTTGTTCAGACCTTTCAGGGACACCTAGTAGATTTTCCGAAGAAAACACAGACATATGAACATTGGTTGAAAATGACATTTGGAAGCAGGTGGCTAGCGACACGGATTTTACTTCGCTTTGAGACTCCCGTACAATGAAAATTACCGGCCGAGACTTTCGGTCACGGCCGAACCTCGAAAAAAAACATTGAAATAGCGAATCACTATCGGCCCCTCAACAGTTCTGTTAATTCCTCCACAGTTGGAGTTAAATATCCTTGGATGTGAAAGCAAAGTGGAATCCGTGTCGCTAGCCGATTTACATTTTGACACTAGAGTCTAGCCATAGCACCATAGCGAGGTAATATTGCGCCTGGCTGGCTGCTCGCTGGTGCGCGACTAACAGAAAATTTCAGGATCATTGAAATAGCGATTCACTATCGGTTTAACCAGTAGGTATCTCCACAGTATTTTTTTCGATTCATTACTTCGAATAAAAATAAAAAAGGTGAGCTGGAGTAGGGATTCGAACCCCGGTCTATTCTTCCACAGGAAGGACAATAAGGAGATATACAAGGAAGGAACGCTATTCTGATGACCTCCACACTTCTGGCAAAACAAACTACAAAACAATTTTATACGCTCTCGAATAGCCGCCGTGGCAATATCTTCCGTATAGTGGTGCTTGCTTCCATGATGGCGCATTTGACAAATGGCTAGGCTCTAATCATTTTGTTCGCTTGTCTCCCGATTTCCCAAAAACTTTATACATTGCGGATTTATAAAAAAAATCATAATTGTATTCCTCTCGTGCAGGAAATTGCATTGCGCGGAAACGGTGGCAGAACTGGCTTGCCCAAACCCAAACCTATGCATAGGCGATTCCTATAAACTCTATAAACCATGCACCAATCGGAACAATCCAAGAAGAGCCCACGCAATCCTGTCAGACAGTCTAGATATGTATCCGTCATTGGCCTACGTGTTGAGAAACGTCTAGGGTGCAACGGTGCAACATGCAACATGCAACAACAATAAACAAATAATCCATGTGCGGGTAACTGTTTTTGTCGACTAAATTCTTTCTTCGAAAGGAATATTCTCAGAATAGTGATTGGGTTCTTTCAATTTTTTTCCACGACTTGATTATGATGATCAACTCATCATAGTGCTCATCATACACTTTCTTCGCTCTGATTGGTCCCTAGGAATCGCCTATGCATATGTTTGGGCAAAACGGATTCTTGCGAACTGGCAGAGTGCAGACTGTGAGATTGCAGAGTGGCAGAAATGAAATGGCAAATGGCACAATTGACAAAATGAGAGAGAATGGCCACCTCATCGTAATTTTCTTTTGAACTATGTTTACATTATATCAATAATTTCATTATAACACACACAATTTAAAAGACTCTTAGATTAATATAGTTCAATTTTCAAAATGAATATGATACTTCCTTATGTAGTTCTGCTATTAACATGTTTAGTGTCTGTGAACTGTATTATGTGGAATCTGGAACCCAATACACAGAAATGTTTGAGAGAGGAGTTGCAGCAAAATATACCAGTTATTGGGGAATTTGAAGTCTCGGATGCTCCTGGACAAACTGTTGATTACGTGGTATGTAACAATAAAACGAAAACTATAATGCAAGAGATGTAAATACCTACATTATTTCAATTTCTATCTAGCCATACTTTTCATTTCCATTTTCAGGTCACTGATTCTAAGGGACACATTCTAGCTAAAAGGCAGGGAATATCTAAAGGAAAATTCTCCTTCAATACGGAGAGTTATGACACATATGAAATATGTTTCAGTTCACATGTCCCTCAAAGTAAGAATCCAAGAATCATAATTTTTTAACTATAAAGCTCTTAAAACACTAGAACACATGATTTTGATATGGCTTATTGGAGAGCACACAAACTATCCATATTAGGTTACCTTTAATGAGCATAGCTGCTCAAATTGGAAATACAATATAGAATGAATCTGTTATTTATCTAACAGAATCATAAAATTCATTTGGATTCCAGAAAAAATGAAACCCACTTTCTCTGGTTTCATATGACAAAGTACAATGTTTCCCTCCAACAACCTGTCAAATAATGTGATTCTGTAATGAAAGTAACCACCAACTTATGTTTGTAGCCATTACCAATATTATATTATTGTTTGTAGATCAAAGAGGTATAACACAAGAAATATCCCTGGTTACTAAGCATGGTATAGAAACCAAAAACTATGATACAGTGGGTAAAATCCTTGACAAAAGTTTCCATTGACTCAAATTTTGAATTATTTTCAGCTTGGAGAAGCTGCTCAACTGAAACCAATTGAGAGGGAACTGAAAAAATTGGAGGATCTCTCAAATGCAATTGTACATGATTTTTCTATCATGAGAAAAAGGGAGGAGGAAATGAGAGATACAAATGGTAAGTGATTTGAATGGTGAAAATCTTTTTACCAACTCTAGTTTCTTAGTACCTAATGCCTAATTTTGTTTTTCAGAATCAACAAACAGCAGAGTATTGTACTTCTCCATCTTTTCAATGTGCTGTCTATTAGGTTTGGCAACATGGCAAGTTCTTTATTTGAGAACATATTTCAAGGCAAAAAAATTGATTGAATAACAGTTAGTACCTCTTCAACAAATCATTAGAAATCATATTTTTCTATGAACTGGTCTCAAGGATATATGCAAGAAAAATTAGTTCAAAGTGAAGACCTTGCCTTGTTATGGAAATAGGTATCTGAAAATGTTTTTGATCTTGGTTTAATTATTGTACTGAATTTTTTTTGAATGGAGTTGTGAGTTTTCAGTAAGAGCCTGTAATATATTGTAACAATTTTTGTAAAAATTATATGTTTGTGGTTTCCTATAATGCATTTTTAGTCAACCAGTGATTATGGTAATAAGTATTCAAAGTATTTACTTAGTTTTGAACTTGCATACTTCCACAGATGGAAAATGTGTCTACAGTATAAAAAATAGAATTGAAGGATTATAAAATACACTTTATTCACAATATAAAAAAGGTTAAACTTAATTAAATTAGCAATAAATAATTATATTTAAAATTCTATCAGTGATCATGGTTAGAGGAACTCATATTGCACATCCTGTAGTGTTGAGCTTCTTTCACAAAATTTTGTAAATTATTTACAAAAGTCGGCAAATCCTGTAAAGAAAACAATATGGTATTACTAGGTTTCAATTAGAAAGTTTGGAGCATATGAAAATATAATGTCAACACATTTCTTCCTTGATTTCAAATATTTACAGATCAAAATTGTTCTGGTTTCGCCGAAAGTGATATAAACTTTTGATATTCAAATCCGAGATCAAAACAAACACAAAGATTAAAAACACCAGCAGACAGCAGAAAGAACCTATCATTTTTGAAATTATTATTTTAACATGAGAAAGGTTACAGGTTGAAGAGCAAATTGATGTGAACATTTATAAATTTCAAGTGTATTTGTATACAGGGTGTCTGTAAAAGGTCTTTACAAATACATACCACATATTCCTTAGACCAAAATAAGTCGATTTAAGTAAAATTACCGCAGAACAAAGTTGCATCGTTTGGGCTCCAGAGGGCCTTGAAGTTACAATTTTTAATTCGTTTTTCCCATATAAATTAAAAACGGCATATGCGATTTTGCTGAAATTTGGTATATTGATAGAGTTTTATGTGGCAAGAAAATGGTGTTAAATTTTTGTCCGATATTAATCCATAGGCGTAGAACTTGATTTTTTTTAATAATTGCACCTTTAACAATTTTACGCCAATGGAATAAAAGGAGTTTGAGTATGAAATTTAGATGGCGCAACTCATTTACTTTAAATAAGGTATTCCTGATAAGACTCGATTATTCTCATGGTTTGCGCTAAATTTCTGTTTCAATAATTTAGAGTGTATATAGGTTTCACGAAAATATTTATTTACATCATCAAAATAAATAGAGATTTTACATAAATTGTTCAAAATGTTCACCATTTTCATGCATACAAAGATTTATACGTCGAAGAAAATTAATAATAATACATAGGCGTAGAACTTGATTTTTTAAATAATTGCACCTTTAAAAATTCTACACCAATGGCAGAAAAGGGGTTTGAGTATGAAATTTGGATTGGGTACTCATTTACTACAAAAAAGTACCCTTGATAACACTCGATTTACTCTCATTGTTTTGACAAAGTTTGTATTTCAATAATCATTGTTCATGTTCTAAAATTACTAAAATGCAACTTTCGTCAAAACCATGAGAGTAATTGGGTCTTATCAAGAGTACCTTTTTTAAAGAAAATGAGTTGCGCAATCTAAATTTCATACTCAAACTCCTTCTCTTCCATTGGCGTAGAATTTTTAAAGGTATTAAGCGTTCTGTGCTCTGATAATATCTTGCTCCTATTTTGATACCCAAGAAGTGGTTGAAAATCCACTAGGAGCTATACCATGCATGAAAATGCACATTCAGACTTGGGATTGCAACTTTGAAAAAGCGATACACCAACAATATATTCAACTCTTTGATATAGATACATCAATATCTGGTACATCAGAGTTCCACAAAGTGACTATATGTTTTCACATAATTATTATGAGAATTCGTATACGGAGATCATCTAAAGAATTCTTGGTTGAACAGGGATGTGAAATCAGTTTGAGTCAGTCAATGCTGGAAGTTATTACTGTTTCATCATCAGATGATCAACCATGATCTCCATGGTTGCTATTGTGATCTCTGCTCCATCATTCCAGCACAAGCAATAACCAGAGTCAGACTTAAACTCGACAGGCCCAGTTAGCACATCCTTTTATCGTTAGCCTCAAAATATGTGGAACAACTCATTATCAAACCTCGCGACAAAGCCTTGAAATTCTTTGCCAAAGGAAGTATTTCAAAGAACTTATAACCTTCGAAAATTCAAAAAAAAAGGTCCTCGAACATTATAGGAATTCCCTTTCGTATTTTTCTTTCAAAATATGTTCAAAATGAATTTTATTATCTGCGAGTTTTTTGTTTCTTGTTGGTTCTGAATTGGAATTACGTTCCTTTCCATACTCGCTCAGTTTATAAATTGTGGGTTCGGCTCTTTCTCTCAATACGATCCTATTCTTCAACATCAAATCTTCCGTTCTGAAGTGTACCTGATGAAAATGCGATGAAAAATGTTCTATATCCTACCAAGAAATTTGAATACCTTGCAAATTCCATGCCGACCGCATCATGTTCTGTCCATTTTTGTAGAATTACGTTATCCGATGGAAATTCGAATATAGTGATTTTCCCGTGTTCTCACAGTTGGAAACTGCACAAAATTTATGTCATGTACGTCCGTGTACTCTGTCAGTTCCCGCTTTTTCCATCAATTTATTTGTGGTTATGTCTGATTGTCAGTGCTTGTCATAGTGTCCGTACTATACAAAAAACGCCAAAACAGCATTGTCAAGTACATTTAGGAACTCTAGTGTATAGTTGTGTTTGAACCAGTTTTGCATGGTGCTATCAAAGTTGAGTCATCTGCAAAGATCACTGCTTTGTGCTCAATATGATTTGATATAATTAATAAGATTGGTCCTAAGACGGAACCTTGAGGTACACCAAAATAGTGATCTAACTGATGACACATCTAGGTTTCATAGAAACAGCCAATCAATCAATACTTGAATGATAAAACACTGACCTTATCATGATTGTGTACGAAATTCCTCAGCAAAATCTCGCATTGTTGAGGCGTGACTCCTTCCATGTTTTGTACGAAGCGGACGAGGAACGCGGAGAAAAACTCGTCGAAATTCACGGCCGCCATGTTGTAGACGACCACTTGGATGTCTTCGGAGAGCGAGGATTGCGATTTATCCAGAAGACATTTGATGAGGACCGTGAGGAACTCCGAGAGGAGATTATTGCGGAAGATTGCCTGCAATTATCAGAATTAATAGCTTCCATTGGTAAAACTGGCTTGCACTGAGTACATATTTTGTATTCCATTGGTAATACTGGTGTCGGGTGCTTTTACAGGTCAGATATATAAAGAAGAGAGAAAAAAAATTTACAATTGATATAAAATAGTAAAAAAAAATACAAATAGTAGGACAAAGCATATAAGGTAAGATACTAATGGTAGCAATACATAGTAAAACAAACATCAAAATATAGAATCGAATACATTTACATATTAAAATCACTTTCTAGATACTCCTTGATGGAATAGAAGGCATTTTTTAAAAGATACGTTTTGACTTTGGATTTGAAATAGTTAGTAAAAATCTAGGAAGAGCATTATACATTTTTTGCCGTAGTAATCGGCACCCCTTCTTGTGTTTTCTAACCTGTGGTAGCTCAGGAATAAATTATCTCTATTTCTAGTTGAATATGAGTGAATATCCCAATGTGATCTGAAGTTTACTAGGATCAGTTTTATGTGGATTAGACAGTGAAATATAAAAGTACATGGAAGTGTAATATTTCTTTTCTCGTTCTAGAATAGGTACTTGGTGATAAGCCCATTTGAGGTCGATTTGGCTGAACAATTTGAATTTCGACACATTGTTCACGGTGGTCTCGATATGCGGCAAAGGATACGCATCTAATTCAGTGAATTTATTAATCGTCATGGAGTAATCTATCACGAGACATTTTCGGTGAGAACCGCTACCAGCCACTAGGACTTGTGCTCGCCAAGGTGAGACGCTGGGTTCGATCACTTTGTCTTCTAGTAATTTTGATATCTCTAAAGCAATGAAGTTTTCGTCATCATTACTATAGCGTCTGCTCTTGACAGCGATCGGTTTGATGTCAGGTGAGAGATTAGTGAAAATTGAGGCTGGCGGGACTGTAGCTTCCGTCACACTGCATATTTCCAAGGGCTTTTTCGGACCACCAAAATCGAATTGAAGACTTGAGTGGTCCTTCAGTACATCATGACCCACGATAACATCAGCACAAAGATCATCTACGATGAGAAGAGGGCGTTGTTTATACGTATGCTGATTCATAGTGATTGTTGCAAAGCATAACCTTTTAACAAAAGAGACATGATTGAGGGAAGCAAGATTCACAGTTTGTCTACAGGGTTTTTGTTGTAGCTTCATCAGACAAACAATCTTTCTGTTAATGAAGCTGACAGAACTGCCGGTGTCTATGAGTGCGTCAACTTTATATTCGTTCACCCTGATTGGAATAGTCGCACTCCTTAGGCTCGATGGAGAGGCTGCGGAAATGGCGCCAGCACATGACTGTCCAGTGGCATGAGAGTACATACCTGTCGTATTCTCATCAGATATGGCATTGCTGGTAGCATTCCCAGATCTGCATACACTCGCAAAGTGACCTTTCTTTGAACACAATTGACAAATAGCATTCTTGGCAGGACATTTGATTCTTTGATGAACATTTCCACCGCAAAAGAAGCATCTTCTTGTCGACTGTGACGACAAGGGTGCGTTCCGTGTCGTTTGTGGAGATGTCGCAGCTAAATCCGCTGCCATCGGCACATCCTTCGTTGAACGATCAGGTACGGCATTGAGTAGCGAGCAGCTGCTGCTCATTTCACGAGAATCTTTTTCAGCTGTTTCAAGAGCTATAGCTTGGTTAAGTGTTTCGTCAGTAAGTTGTGAGTTCTCCAGGAGACGTTCTCTTATTTTCTTCGATTGAAGGCCTGAAATCAGGGCACTACGGATTGCTTGGTCCTCATGTTCTTTAGCGGTAACCGCCATAAAGCGACAATCTTGTGCCGATAAGCGCAACGCTCTCGCGTAGTCGGAAATGGATTCATCTGATCGTTGTTTTCGATTCGACAACACGTAACGAGCCAGTATTGTGTTTTTTGGTTTTATATAGATACCTTCTAGTATATTCAGAGCTTCATCAAAAGTCTTGCAGGATTTGATGTGTTTGAATAGTGTGGCTGAGAGGTGACTCACTAGTAGTTTCAACTTCAGAGAGTCGGATGTATCTTTAGGAGCTTCTTCAGCTAGGAAATTGTCGAACGTGGATTTCCAATAGATCCATTTAGAGTCCGCATCGGAATCATTTGGTTCCACATCAAACTTATCGGGTCGTAGATATTTTGACATCGATGAACCCGCAACGAGAAGGCTATTTTCTTGAGGCAGTATAAGTTACTTTTAGTTTTAGTTAAATTGATACGTAATGAACGAATTACCAACGAAGAACTTGGCTTTAATCAACTAAACATTGACAACTGAGTAAAAACTAACAAGACAGTACAGGGAGATTCATATCAGGCTTCTTATTAGGAAAGTTATTTTGGACAGCTTGGAGCATAGATAATTGATATGAACGTTACAAGTCAATCCTGGATCCAAGTGCACCCCCGAAAATGTAACCGATGCCTGACATTCTAGGTTTGATCAAGAGGTTTGCAAAGGAAAGTTCATTTGATGCGTCTTGTCGGCATTTAGACTCAATTTGTCAAGAACCAATTCTCAATCTGGTCATCTTTATTTTGGGTCCACTGAAGTATTGGGTCTGAGGGGTGGTAACGCATCAACGTAGTGGTGTAGTCAGCAAATAAGTTTGTGAGCAGCGTGATGGCATTGCCGGAGTTAGGCAGGTCATTTATGTAAATGCCTAGTTCGCTAATGATATTATTATCGAAACTGCGACTCTTCAAAATGATTGATTTTACCTTATGGTACAATTTCCATTTCCCGTTGAGATCTTCGAGAGCCACCAGACTCAACCTGAATATGTTCATGTCCTGCTGCAGCAACGCTTGCCCAAACACCTGCAGGATGGCCAGGAGCTGTTCGGGTTTCTGAGGATGGTCAGGACCTATTTCGGAATCGCTGCAGCCCGGCGAATAACCTAACCTCACTTGGGAAACGTAGAAATACTGCCAACGGTGTAATAAAATTCTGAAAAAAAAACAAATTAATCTATCATACAAGTAACAAAATAATAGTCACACTTTTCCGCACACTATTTTTTCTACTAGCGTGCGGAAAAAACCCATGAACATTATAGGAATTTCCCTTTGTGCACTATAAGAGATCAAAAAAATATTATTGATAATATTGATATCAACAACTGGCCTATAAAACAAGGCTAATAGTAGTTTTCAATTCTTATATTCATACAAAGTTGAATACATATTAATAATTCAAAAAATTCATGTTTCCCCAACAATCTTACCTAAACTAGTTTCTCAACATTCTCCCCCCGTATAATTACTAAATATTATACAGTGGTCATGTTCCGATATTGCTGACATAACTGGTCACAGTAAGCAATTTAGGAACACTAGCAGTAGCATTCAATCTTCATTTCATTGCGGAACATAACTTATGATTTTCTGATTTTCGATGTTTTGTTCTGTGTGTCTCCAATTTTCAAATTCCTGTTTATTATTTTCTTACCATTTTGTCCGTTTCCAAAACATCGGTCAGGAATTGTGCGCGGTTCTCCACTGTAGTTTCAGGGATTGTGCGATTCTCCACTGTAGTTTCAGACAAATCTTGTTTTCATCAAACGTACCCGGAGGTCCAACTCTTCTATTGATTCCTAACAGAAAGTGATTAGGGGTCAGGCATTCCATATCATCAGGATCAATGGATACGGGAATTGATTAAGTTCACTGCTTCTACCAATAAAGTTTTTAACAGCTCTTCTTCTGGAGTTTTCTCCTCTAGAATTGCTGAGAGTGATGTTTTTATCGATCTTATCAATCCGGCTATGTGGGGTGATAGTGCAGGCAAGAATTTCCAGATAATATTCCAATCAGTCATTTCATCGTCATCTCATTCTGATCTAAATCTTCAACTGATTTTCGGAGTTCTCTATTTGCAGAAGCAGAGGACTTAGTCAATTCCAGGCCCCTAACCCATGTATCCTTTGATCCTGATGATATGGAATGTTTGACCTATAATCACTTTCTGTTAGAAATCACAGAAGAGATGGACCTTCGGGTACGTTTGATGAAAATACCTTCGAGCACTCAGAAAACGGACAAAATGGCATGAAAATAACAAACAGGAAGTTAGAATTGGAGATTGGAGACATCGTCCAAGTAGCAGTAGTAGCACATAACAATTTCCCAAGAAATTCATGACCTAGTGGGCCATAAACCTATCCTGGAAAAAAAGGAAAGATTCGTGTCGTAGATGCCCAGATCCAGAACAAAATGTATAGAAGAATGGTTGTGAAGATATTCAAGTTACATATTCGGAAGACTGAAGAATGAAAACATAATAAACAGTATATTTAATAATTATACGAATATACAAATTGAAAACTACTATTAGCTTTGTTTTCAGAGCCAGTTGTTGATATATTTGAGCCAAAAGTTCTTCGAGTTATCAGCCATTATAAGCCCAAACAGATACCGCCATCTACTGAATACAATGTCTGCCTTCACTGCTCTCATAAGGATGATCAATTTGGTTAGTAGGAATAATCAAGGGTGGAACGCACCCATGATCGTGCGTTCTAGTCACAAGATATAATGATCACGAATGCTGTGGAATAAACTTGCACCGACCTGTACAATAACGCCAACAGAGCGGCAAACACGTCCGGGCAGTTTCCTGCTTGCGACACCACCAACGGATACACGCTCTCCATGCACAGCTGCAGGACGCCCGGCAGGAACGTCTTCCAGGCATTGCCAGGCGCCTCCACGACCAGCTGCAGGATCTGGACGAGCTTGTCCAGGCTGGTCATCGTGCCTTCCTGGTGCTCGTTCATCGTCACCTTCGCGATATAACAGTGATTACAGATCTTGTATGAGCACGAGAAGATTGGAAACAAGCGTCTAGATAGACCAGCGAATCTTTCAAACATCGTGGTCAAGTGACGTTACCCACAACACATGATATTTCTAGCTTTATATTGAGAAACTACGACTACTACCAGTAAAGCGATAGCTAAGTGGTCTGTGTATCTGACTTCCACGATGGTCACTGGGGTTCAATCATTGGGAGGCAGCAATTTATTTTTTCACTCAATTAATTTTTCAAAAATATACTTTTCTCTGGAGATTTTCCTCACGAGGTAGGTGTTCCACAGGGGTCGTGTCTGTCTCCTCTGTTATGTAAACAATTTATACGTATGACTTTCCTGTGTTTGAGAGGACGAGTGCTGCATTATATGCTGATGACAGTGTTGAATGAGCACTCTCTCGACTCGGACATCGCCAGGACTCAGATCCAGATTCATCTGGACAGGGGGGGTCATACCGTACTTTGAAGGGTCAAAGATCGGCCTAAACAACACGAAAACTGAAATCAACATCTTCAGTAACTAATTTACTAATAATGTGTTGGGCCGGCCTTTGACTGTAAAAGGCACAGAGGTTACGCGATCAGGAACTTTTATCCTCTGTTTCTCTCCATAAATAGATCATTAGGCCTGTAATGACATACGCCTGTCCGGTGTTCTGCAGCGCCGCACCTACCCAAATAGGTAGGTTACAGGTGCTGCAGAACAAAGTTCTCCGTATCATTACAAATGGTAATCGATACACTCGGGTGGCGGACCTTCATGAAACATCCATTATCAGAGAACAAATCATGAAAATCTCTAACAAGTTCTATAGATTCCATGTTCGGGGTAGTGAGCTTACCAGAAACATCACTACCACCAGAGCTGAACATGGAATCTATAAAAAACACGGACTGATTTACGAGTCTACCGACGTTTTTGGGGAACCCCAAAGCGATCAGTACGATTCTCAACACGGAAAACATGAACTGTGAAAATTTCGGGGACATCGCGTAATCGGAGACCGCATAGCCCGCAGCGGCAGATATATGGAAAGGGTTTTCACTTTTAATTTTCTCCCTTTTGAACCGGAAAATTTCCACACATGAAAATGGTAGCATTCAACCCTAACCCAACTGGGTCCACCTCGGAAATTACTCATCATAAGAAGCCTCGCTTCGGGAGATGGGACTCGTTGCAGCCTAGACTCTAATCAAAGATATGCGTCTCCTCGGCTTACACCAGCCGACCCCACACTGTGTGGAGGATTGTTTAACATCTCTCTTATATAGTATGTGTGTTTCTTTTTGAAATTGTCTGTATTTTTTTATGAAATGATGAATAAATAATGTTTGATGTGACTTCCACGTGGTCACTGGGGTTCAATCCCAGCGAGGCGTCAATTTTTTTTTCACTCAATTCATTTTTCAAAAATATACTCTTCAGGAAACAGGTCCATTTAGGACAACAAGTAAGGTTGAAAGTACTTTCCTTTTTCATGCAGAAGACATATTTTCCTTCCTGATATTACCTTATAAGTCTTATAAACACGCATAACCTTGAGGTTTGATAGATTCGCTGGTCTATCTAGATGCTTGTAGGTTGGAACAATTTCATCAAAAGCTTGATATGGCCATTGGCATCTGTCATCTGTTCAAATAATATAATGGGTCGGTTCATTTGTGTTGCTGAACTTGACTTTTTCATAGCTATCTGTGTTCATCGCAACATGTAAACAGAGAGTCATAAAAACAAAACAAGGTCAGCAAGTTGAGTGAACACAATCGAAAAGGTCTGACTTATTCCTAGGTTGGCTATTCAGTTTTGCCCTCATGTGACGTCATCAGAAAGGAATTTCAAGAATTCAAGATGGCCGTTATGCCGTAACTCTGTCCCTATAGATGTATAATAACCCTAGCCCCAATAAGTTTTTTAGTGACAAAACGGATCCTAACATTTGAAACAAAGTGGAATGAACGGTCACAAAGAGAGAAACTCAAAGTCATTATAACAATAGTTCATAAAATGAACGAAAATGGTATAACGAGTGAAAAACAACTACTTTCAGGCTACATGCCACGCAGAATATTGGATTACATCCTCCAGAAATGTATGCAATAATTCGTATAGACGAATAAAATTGCAAGTGTGGTATATAGCCAGGGAAGAAGTTGTTTTTCTTTCGTTATCTACCATTTTCGTTCATTTTATGAACTATTGTTGTAATGACTTTGAGTTTCTCTCTTTGTGACCATTGTATTTCCCTTTGAATATTTGGAATTTTCCTAGTTGAAAGATCAAATTGTCAAATAAAAATAGCTTAAGAAATTAGTAGCTCCTCTCCTATTGAAATACAGGGTGTTTCATAGGTAAAGGGAAATATTTCAATGGTAGATAGGGGTCACCAAGGTGGTTCTGAAAATACCATATTTGGTAGGTCTTAGAGTCTTCATAACGGAGATACAGGGCGATTTATCGATTTTGAATAATTATTCATTCGTCTATATGTATTGACCTACCCAGTATATTTTTCTCAAATTTGGTAAGGAGCTTATACTTGGGACGTTGAATTTATTCACCTATCGGGCGGAGTGAAAATCCAGGTTCGGCTTCAGGAAAAATTTACATTTATTCGAAGTATTAAAATAACACACTGTATTCAATAATTAACACAGTACATCAAAAGAATCGTGAAGAGGAGGAAAAACTGAATTGTGTATGATGCTTTTTGTTTTCCCGCCACCAATTCTCATCGTAACAATCATAAACAGAAAGTTGAAAGTATGTCAATTTGAAGAGTATTGGAATTATGAAAAAGTCTCCATAAGTCTTAAACTACCCAGTAACATTTTCTTAAATTTGGTAGGTATGAAGCTTACTTGGGACGATGGATTAATTAATGGAAATAATACCAAATAATTATAATTCGATAATTCACCTTGTATCTCTGTTATAAAGACTATGAGACTTTTCCTTAAGCTGAACCTGTATTTCCATTCTGCCTGATAGGTCAATGAATCCATCGTCCCAAGTAAGCTCAATACCAAATTTGAGAAAATATTACTGCGATGGGTAGTCTAATACTTATATGGATGAGTGAATAATTATTCGAAACCGATAATTCACCCTGTATCTCTACTATAAAGACTGTGAGACTGAGTAAGTTCTTTCGAACGATCATTTAACAAGAATATATCAAATAATCATAATTGGAAGTGGTTTCATAATTTCAATACTCATCAAATTGACATACTTTTAGCTTTCTGTTTATGATTGTTACGATGAGAATTAGTGGCGGGAAAACAAAAAGCATCGAATCCAGTTCAGTTTTTTCTCCTTTTCACGATTCCTTTGATGAACTCTGTTAATTATTACATACAGTGTGTTATTTTAATATTTCGAATAAATGTAAATTTTTCCTGAAGCCGAACCTGGATTTTCACTTCGCCCGATAGGTGAATGAATTCAACGTCCCAAGTATTCAAATTTTAGAAAAATATACTGCGTAGTTCAATACTTATAGACGAATGGATAATTATTCGAAATCGATAAATCGCCCTGTATCTCCGTTATGAAGACTCTAAGGCCTATCAAATATGGTATTTTCAGAACCACCTTGGTGACCCCTATCTACCATTGAAATATTTCCCTTTACCTATGAAACACCCTGTATAAAAGCTCAAAGGGGTTTCGAAAGAGTATTTTTTAATTATCTACTGAATGTCTTAAAAAACCTTCTCAATCTTCAAAAATGAAGCACCTCATTAATTTTTCGAGCAACGAACAATTTTGCTCACCTGTAGGAAAACTTGTACGGCATTCTTAGTATCCTCGACGCCCAGCTGCTGCTGCAGCACGCCCATCACGTTCAAAAAGAATATCAGAATGTGATTGCTTATCTCTTTGTACCGCACGAACGTAGGAAAGAGATAGAGGGCGTGCTGCACGGTGGGCCTGATAGCGGCGGCCATCAATTTTTTCGACGCCATCGGTAGGTTCTGGCAGTTTTCCGTGATGATAGAGAGAGAGGGTAGAGTGCGTTCCACCACGGTTCTCACGCTCTCTTCGGGAGTGATAGGAGAAAGCGATCGAAAATCATTGGTGAGCCTGGATTGCAGATGAAAAAATATGAATAATAATAATAATAATAATAATAATAATAATAATAATCGGAGATCCAGAAAATCCCAGCGTGCCATGATAAGGCACACATCCTGGCTGGTGGAATGTAGAAGGCCGTCATACTAGGATCATTGCGTCTACTCAGGGCACACGGTACTTGGTCCCAGTGATTACTCACCTCACAGGCTGTGAGGAGTAGTCACTGGATTTTATCCAGCACGACTCTGCGAGACGTCGGAGGCCGCAGGGTCGTGACTGGAATTATATGAACTAAAATGATAATAATAATAATAATAATAATAAATTGTATCTATTGCCATTAAGAGCATCTCTTGGCACCACACAAGTTTTTCAAAATCCACTACGAGATGTAGAGGTCCCACACTTCACATCAACTATTTCAGACTTGTGATTTCAACTTTGGAGGAAGCGATACACAGACAATCTATCTCTTAAATTGGTACATCAGAGTTCCACAATTTGACAAACGTCTTAAATTGATGTCATGTATGTTAGTGTTCTGTCAGTTCCCGCTTTTTCCATCAATGCATTTGTGGTTATGTCTGACTGTCAGTTATTGTCATAGTGTCCGTACTCTGAATATATAAAAACGCCAAAACAAAAGTGTCAAGAGGAGCGTTTCAAAATTGTATCCCGTTGTACGGTTTACTAGAGGTCGTTTCAATTTACAGTTGAAGTTACTGGACATGTGCCGAATATCGTTTCAATTTCCATAGGAAGAACATCCGACTTCCAACTATTCATCTTGTTCCGACAGGTTGGTAAATTTTACGCAATCTACGTTTGGCAAGCCGGACGAGCGTTTTGTGCATTTTGGTTTTGTAAGCTTTGCGGATTGTGACTAGGGTTTATGGTTTCACTTTTTATTTCATAACAAAAGCCAGTGAGTAAACACTGAACAGTCAAAAATTACGAAGTTCTTCCTTTCAATTTCGAAGTAATTACATAAATAATTAGTTAGTAGAATGGATTGAAGAAGTTTTCCTTCCGAAAATTGAAGTTATCTGAATGTTCCTGATAAAGATACCAGGCTATAATGTCTGTTGCATTTTCTGCACCTTCTTGAATTCTTCCATCATTCATAATATGTTCCACATTGGGTTGACTCCCTTCATTGCCTTCATTTACATAACTTTCAATAGATTCAATAGGATCCATCAGGCATAAGTTGTGTAACACACTGCAGGTCATTATGATTTTGGGAATGAAATCCATTCTAATCATATCCAACATTTCTTTCAAACGTCTAAACCTACCAACAAGTAATGCAAGTTATCTTTCAATCCTGCCTAGTTTTGGCATGGCTTTTATTGAAATATTCCTGCATTGGAGTGGCGATATACCACTTGTACAACGGATGAGCCTTATAATGAAATCATTCGAAAAATTTGGAATTCTTGAAAAATCCTGCTGTTTTATTTCTTCTTCGTCCGAGAAAGAACTACTATCATCGTGGAAGAATAAATCGTAGAGGAAACTGCAGAACCCAAATATAACTCTCTCCATTTCCATAAAAAGATGAACCATAATTTCAACCCTTTCAACGAATATAGGTTATTAGATATCTTTGGTTAGACATAATAGGACGTAATACTCTCTCCTCTTGCATAGCCGTTTGGAAATCAATAGCAACGGACGTGATCCAGCGGAATACTGCTGACGTCATCTTTTCACCCGTTGTCGGACGATGGATACATTTTTGAAACGCAGCTCTGTACATTAAGGAACTCTACTCTCACTGATCTCACCTGTCGAAGAACGTATTGACCATCGCCGACCTCTGCTCGCTGTCCGCCTGACTCAGATTCCCCCACGACTTCAGCAGCAGATTGCTCACAGCCTTGCAGACGACACTCGCCGTGTCCGCATCGGCGAACCTCAACATGGGCGCCTCGGCTACGAACTGCCCAACCTGCGGCAACACGACCACGTGGGGCGCGAACGCCGCGTCGCTGAGGCCGAGGAAGAGGTGGGCGGCCGAGTGAGCGATCCTGGGCGGCGCGGCAGGGCGGCTTCGAAGAAGGGGAAGTGTGAGGTCGAGAAGGGGGTCGATGTTTTCGATGTTGTCGTTCTTGCGGGTGGTCCGGACGAGGAGGGTTTTGAGGGCGGCTAGCAGTTGACCGTGACTAGGATTCGATGAATTTTATCATATGGAATACCACAAGTGATACTATTTTACAGGAAATATTCGGCGATTGTTACGACAGCTTGTTGCCCAATAATTTCGCTAATTACATTGTTTATCAAAAATTTCTAGCGGTAGGCAAGAAGTTTAGGGACAATGTGGTGGGCGAAATTAGAGCAGCAAGATGGAATATATCAATCGACGGATAGTTCCAGGAATAATAGCATTACGAGTTGTATTGGTATGATTATTTCATGATTGAGACAATAAACAAGCGCCTCGCGAGAGTTGCGCACACTGCATCTATCATTCAGGCTTCCAACATAATTGACGTTTTGAAAGTCAAAAATGTTATCAACAGTAAAAACACAAGAGCCTTTTTTTATCGGATGATTTTTGGTTGCTAACAAAACATTTTGTCAATCAGTAATTTAATGTGAAAAACTGACATGAAAAACTGTTATCTATTGATAGTTTCGAGTGTAATTACTGATGCAAAACTTTCGAGTTAGTAAGAAAATTCATCCAGTGGAAAAAAGTTTGAGTGTTTTCCGACACGATGAATCAACTACAATGTCTGAATGAACAACAATAAATATATTCAGTCATGATTTTGTATTTCTTGTAGTTTTCGGAATATATTTTTTTACATTGTGATTTCTTCAGACGCAATTTTCCCAAAACGGCTCATTTTACGAATTTTTGTTTGAAAAATACCAAACAATCATACTTGACACGACAGAAATTGTGACGGGCGCATATTAGATGAAGAAGTAAGGTTTTGAGGAATCGATGATAACATGATCCACATCATCGAGAAATTGCGTTTTCTGTGGAGGATGAAAAACGATAGGTTCGTCGGTCACCTGTCAATTCTACGTTTGTACCAATACAAGTCCGATAAAATTTAGTAAACAAAAAAATTCGCTGTAATAAATAAGCAACCGTGAAAATGGTCGTTTCTGATTGGTCCTCGAGAACAAGTGTGGAATCATAATCACACGAGACTTCTTTCTTCAACACAAGAGTTTTTTTCATCAGATAAATTTCTCTTCCTAACGAGAGAAATTTGCCAAGTTTTACGAGAAGAACCGACATGAAAAAGTTGCGAGACCGTAGGCTGAGCGATTTTGTCTAATGTCAGTTATTAGAGGCCTTTAAAACTTTTGAAATATTGCACAGTTTTGCAGTTTTGATTATTATTTTAATGTATTTGGGCACATATCTTGCTATATTGCTCTGGTTCAATCACGATGAATTTTACTTGTTTTAGGCAGTCGATAATCGAAATTGATCGCCCACGAGCTGCCCCACCTGCGGCATCACGACCACGTGTGGCGCAAAAGTCACATCGCTGAGGCCGAGGGAGAGGTAAGAGGCCGAGTGAGCGATCCTGGGCGGCGCGGCAGGGCGGCTTCGGAGAAGGGGAAGTGTGAAGTCGAGAAGGGGGTCGATGTTTTCGACGTTGTCGTTTTTTCGGGTGGTCCGGGCGAGGAGGATTTTGAGGGCGGCTAGCAGTTGACCTTGACTGGGATTTCATTGATTTGATTTGTTATCGAGGTAATTGATATTTCAATTGGAATTGTGTTGCCTAGAAATTAAACACATTGCCTTCAGACTTTCTTTCTGGCAGTTGAATTTCCTAAACACAACAAAACTCTCCAAATCGCGACAATAACACAGATTAACGTCAAAACATCGAAGATTTGTTTACAATTCTGGTTGTCATGCTTTAAAATGCTAGGTTCCGTTTTGTTGCTGGAAAATTTAGGTCAAGTTAGGGACCTGCAAGTATAAAACACCCCCTGAAGTGTTAGTTTCGCCGAAAATGTTATCATATTCACAATTTTCGAAAATTCGATGCAAAAACCTGGAATGTACTGGTATCAGCCTTTTTTTATTTATTTCGTAGCGAATACCTACGTCAAAGCCGTCTAGCGCCCAAACCAAACAACTTTGTATTGAGTTAAATATGCTACGAGGTTTTCTTGCATTGAATTGTTTCAAACAATAAAACAATCAATATTAAATACCTAATTGGTTAGTTCACTTATTTTTGTGAGAAATGACTGTGTAAAAAGACTTATATGTGTTTGTTTACTTACATTTCTATGAAACACTCAGTTATCCTCGAATCGCCAATTTTCAGATCATAAAATCTGACTTTATTGATTATTGAGGCACATTCCAATATTTTTTCGAATAAACTATTCATGATTGGCATAGATAATTGGCCCTGATTCTCACTATCTGAAATGCAAGAAATATAGCTACAGCGACCTCAATAATTGATGAATAAAAATAAATTTATATACTTCAGGGTATCAAAGGGTACCTTTGATCACTCATTTGAGGGACTAAAGTAGCAATTTAAATCCATCAGGGATTCAAAGTAAATACTGAATTTCTTTTTTAACGCTTTCAAGGCACATCACTTTTCAATATTAACAATGATATGATAACTACCCATCAATCAGCAAAGCTGGCATTTTGAAACTAGAGAACTGCTACAATCTATTTGCATTGGATTTAAAAGTGCCACTTCAGTCCATAGATTTATAATCTACATTTAAATAGCAAACTACATTACCTGAATCGATGTATACAGATGCCAACCTTGTAAGGGTTTGAGTGAGCGATGAAAAGTCTTTCAGAACATAACCCAGTTTCTCGGTCTCAGATATTTGAAATTTCAGAGTCTGAGTTTGATAATCTACCGCATGTTCCATATTTCTAAAAATATCATAGCAAATTTTCCATGGTGCTATCTACAAAGAAATATGCAGATGATGCTTAGACAGAAGTCAAATCGTCAAGGAAACGGAATTTACTCACCACCAAACTGAATGTATCATGCGGCGAAAATTCGGCAACCATGGCGATCACTTCCACAGTTGATTTAAAAAAAACCTGCCATTCAGTCTGATTCTGGAAATGCAAAAGCATCAAGCAATTGTGACAATAATTTCCGTTTTTCAAGAAGAAAGTGTACATCCAGTGTACTGGAGATACAGTAATAATTATAATAATAATAATAATAATAATGGATTTTATTGACAGGTATAGGTAAATACAAAATAAATGAAAAATGATAGAGAGCTGAGAACTGTATACCTATCAAACGACAGAATTCAAGTTCAGATCATTTCACCAGTGAGAGTGACGTAATCAGAACTTGCTCTTCCATTCAAAAGGGGGAAAAAAATAATTATCGCTATGTTATACATAAACCTATAAGTAACCAAATATAAAATAATTTAAATTTACACATGAACATTTCAAATATAAGTCATCATAAAGCTGGATGCATACCTATAAAAAAAAAGAAAAAAAATACATCATAGTAACTGAGGCAAAAAGTTATGGAGTAGGTCAGATTTCAGTTTTTTCCTGAAATTTGGAATCGATAATGTTTTCATTGAATTCGGGAGTCGATTGTAAAGCCAGGCGATATTATAGGAGAAAGAGCCACGATAAAGAGTAGTTTTATGAGGTGGTATTGAGAAATTATTTCTGAATCTAAGATTTAAATTATGAATGTCAGTTCTATAGCAAATTTTATCGTGGAGATAAGAAGGTGTTTTTGTAGTGATAATTTTATGGTAGAGAATACAAGCATGAAATACACGTCGGGCCTCCATATTTAACCATTCTAAATTATTTAGTTGGTGAGTTACATGCTGTCGCCTTCTGGTCCTAGTGATAAGCCTTAAGCATGAATTCTGTAAGGTCTGTAATCTTTTCCTGTCGGCTTGAAGTAAGTTGGGACCGTATACAATATCAGCATAATTGGCATGCGATAGAACCAACGAATTACATAAGATTTTCTTGGAATTTTGGTTTAATATTTCTCTATTAGAGTATATCATTTTCAAATTGCAGTATCCACGCTTTATTATTTGGGACACATGTGATGAGAATCTGAGAGACTGTTCCATAATGAGACCAAGGTTTTTTGAACGATCTGTAAGAGGTAGTTGGAAATTATCAAAATTGATAATGATATTACTCTCGTTTCTTCTTCTCATTGCAGTTCGGCCAAATAGCATCATAACTGTTTTTGATGGATTAACTGTTAGGCAGTATTTTTTTTTGAGGTTTCGATCAAAGAATTCAAATCATATGTGATTTGAATCCTTGGATATTTCAACATACTTTCAAGAAATGTAACTTTTATCAAGATATGCACTACATTTCAAATGAGAAGATATTAAGTTCCGCTTTCTATGAAGGAATGTTCAAACTGGCAAAATGAAGTCAGTCCACTTTATTTTGAGTCTGCTCTCAGGATCTCGAGTATGTAACATAATACGACAAATAAATTGAATGTGATAAAGTGATCATCTTTAATCTTGACGTAATCGTAACGTTACATCATTTGTCATAATATCAAGAAGGTGTAATATTGCCTCCAATATTAACCAAACCAAAGGGAAAATTAACGCTTCCCTAGGGTTTCCAACGCTGTCTTCTTAGTTGAAATGGACTATAGGTGAATTCATACTCTTTACTAATTTCGTTCATCCTAATGTTCCAGAGGAATTCCCTAATAATTATACCTATGGTAAGGATTTATTCACACTGGAGGAATATTATTCATGTAAACTTGACAACATAGGCCTCAACCGAAATTTTTAACATCACCTGAAATATTACTTTTTCAGATCCATCAGAATCATTTGAAATAGAAGGCTCGATTCACAAAAGATGAGAAAAAATTATAAAAAAACACCTTTTTTCCTGGTGGCATGGCGATTGGGCAATAAATTAGTTGAAGTTGAAAATAATTCTCCATTTGAATTTATGAGAAATTGAAAAAATATATTAAGTACTTACATCTTCATCCAAAAGTTTATCATCTATTAAATTAAGTTGACTAGAATTATATGTGAATTGGAATTTCTTCAAAAGGGCAGTGATAAGTCCAACAAATACTTCAGAATATCTGTAAGACAAAAATATAATATAGCAACATATGGAAACATTTCTCCTCATTTTATCACAGGCACTTTGTATTAAATACAATTTTGTGGTCTACCGACTTAGTGTTTGTTTTTTTTGACAATATTTCCTATAAAAATATTTCTTAGTTATCATATCTTTGCTTACTTTTTCACATTTTGTTGCTTCATCTGTTTCATAAAAGCTGCCCATACAGACAAACAACATAAGTAACTTTGAACTACCGTGAACTGCATAGTAAGCTGAAAAAGCGGCGATAAGAATTCTACCATTGTGAATTCTGGGTCCGATTCAAGACGCCACATGTGATGTTCGATCATAAGTATCAGCAGTTCGGACAATTTTTCCATGAACCTGAAAACACATGCAATTGGTGAGATTGTTCAAAGACATTATCCCGAAATGAATGTAGAAAGATCATATACTCAAAATCCCAAGGAGACAAAACATCAGTATGTTTCGCCCCAATTAATGTGTGCCACTGACATAACTATTATCTAGACAGCTATTTGTCATATACCAACAACCCAAGAGTCTCATCCAAATTGCTCGTCTGAAAACGCTTCTGCTCATGCTAAATTCCGAATTCAACTGGTCAGTACTGTCAGTAGATCCACTGACTCAGCTGAAAAATCAGTGTCCCGGAATATAAAATCGAAAATACAGTGCTGTAATTCGGAACACGTTTTCATGGTTTTCATCAGTAGTCAGCAACAGTCCATCAGCTAGCGAAATTTGAATATTATTCTCAGTGTCAATTAAGAATGATATCAAGTTATTATTAAAAAGACAATACTTAATGTTTAAAAAACAACGGACATACATTCCTTCCCCCTCTGAAATAATGACAGATCACTGAAGCCACTCTACTCTTTGATAATCAGCAATTTCAGCAGAATGTTAAGTCGAAATATTTGGAATAAATATAGTATGTCTGCTCACAAGTATCTATGATTTTTTTTTATTTCGGAATGAAAAATCAGAAGATTCAGTACGGTCAGTTGAATTCCTAATATAGCCTCAATGTACAGGAAATCCCAAACTTCAATGTCACATCGAAGTCATGAATGATAGTATGAAGCCTTCTGTACATTGAGCAGAAGCAATTTCAGGCGAGCAATATGCATGAGATTGTCTGGTGGCTGGTATTTGACATATATAGATAATAGTTATGTCGGTGGTATAGACAGACATACAAAACCATCAATACAAATGCTTTATAATCAAGAAATCCCTATGATGCAACATAGAATAGTTTGAAGGTTGATCATTCGATAGTCCATTTGTATATGACGGGCTGTTACATAATAGGCGAGTGGATTATTTTTTTCATTTCTTAAATAGAATCATCACTCAAATACCTTTCAATTTCATATTTTTTAAGAATTTTTTGGTCGATTTTTAGGTGCTAAAATCATCAATTCACACTAGAGAACATTTGAATCGGTGAACGTGACTACCACGGCGCACGACTTGTGGGCGTGGTCTTGTCAGTTCTCAGCATTCAGCACCATGTTGCCAAGTCTCCATCAACATTCACGTGATATGTTGTTATTCGCGATAGAAAATAACACGTGGCCCTACCTGACGGCATCAACTTGAACACTTCAGAGCGGTTTGTTTTGATGATGTGACCAATGAGCAAAAAAAACAAATGTGATAGGTGGCGTACGCTTATTTTCTTTCGCGAATGGAGAATAAGGAATATTTTGACATGCTGGTTGCTCGAAAGAGTCAAGAATTAACTATTATATCGTGGGTTCCTCATGTTATGTTTTATTTAACGACATGACTCTCACATCTCTTTGATAACTTGATTATAATTGGTGACTTGACAACCTTGCTTCATGAGTGGAAATGGAAGATTATCTGACCAATAACGAAACCATTCATTAGACGTATCGCTAAATGTCGGCCATGAAGGTTTGTTTGAAATGAGCTCTGGAATTCAATAATTTCGACCAACGCATAGACTCATTATTTACATAAAAAATCGTGAGAAGTGTTGCAAAAATTAATTTAGTTTCCTAAAGACACAGTGGAGTAAATGAATGCAATAATTCATTATCAGTCCACTCGCCCATTCATGAAAAATTGTTCGTAGGAACATTGAGATTGTATTGCCACATGTCAATAATAACTATAAGTCTTTCCATAACCAGAAATCAGACAACAGTGGTGGAAGAAAAAATACGTCTCCTTGGGATGATCAATCTATGGAAGAGATAAATGTGATTATGATATTTACGACATTTGTAAATTCACTTACGCAGGGTCCATAGTATCTATCCTGTTAGAAGAACTAGTTAGTTCCCTTAACCAACCCATGATTTGATGGTATAGCTGGACAAAAAACTCATGGCTTTCGGGAGGAATGCATTTTCTGTACAGAAGTTCATTGAGTGTAGACATTGCTAGTACACACATATCATCATCGTCCTATAACAACACAAGCTTTTTTCGAACATTGAGATGGAGGAATATCATTGATATGAGTATTCATGGTGGCCAAGCTCATCATCTGACGTTGCGATGACATAAAAACTACGGGAAAACTAGAGTCACTGAATGGTATTAGGTTATCTGACTAATACCATCCAGTGACTCTAGGGAAAACATGTCTAACTTCTAATCAAAGCCAGGAGTTAGGAATGCTTTCCCGTAGTTTTCATGTCATCGCAACGTCCTTGGCCAACGCGAAGAATACTGCCAAATCAGGTGTTTTCAGTTTAACAAGCTACATGTAATCTTATGAGCATTTTTGGCTGAAGGTGACAAAGAATCAATAACCTTTTACCACCAAGGCTGCGTTCATAAAGTCACTCCTGTGAGTAAAGTAAATGTATGGTCACCTGATCAGAAATATATCGTGAAGGTTAGTCAGAGTATCCCTTCAAAAACTGTTATGTGAAGGTATGCAAGATAACAAATGTCAAGTGCGTAAAATGGTAAAAACGATGATGGGCGCGAATAGCTGTGTACAGATCAATAAAATATCAATGTATGTCAGTTTGAATGTCTCATACTAGTGAATAGATATTTTTCATAGGCTTAGGAAATACAAAAGGCCATAATCGTCAAAAAATTACCACCATCAGAGCCAAGCCTAGTGACATTGACTTCATCGGTGTGCACACAGTATCTCTCTATTCTATCATTTCACATGGATACTATTGACGCAGAATGAATCGCAAAGACCATATAAGACGACATCGGAGCGGGTATAGCGCACACAACAGGCAGAACAAGGAACTTTGTTTTCGACTATGTTTACACTGTGTTTCTGCATTCTAGCATCTGATATGCAAACAGTTGAAGCAGATATGATCACAGTAACCATATGAGACGACTGCGGATGGCATATAACGAGAACAACAGGCAAATGAAGATACATCGACTACATCAGTCTGCACAACGCATCTCTGTATTCTATTATCTCACATGGATACTATTGAAACAGAATGGATCGCAAAGACCATATAAGACGACATCGGAGCGGTTCTAACGCACAAACAGGCAGAACAAGGAACTCCATCTTCGACTATGTTCACACTGTGACTCTGCATTTTGGCTTTTGGCATGCATACAGTTGGAGCAGATACGATCGCACTGACTATATAAGACGACTTTGAAGGGTATATAATCTATCTCTGTATCAAATTCTAACCTGCGAATAAGAAGACACGATGGTGAACCCGAACACCGCCTCGATCATGCGCCTCGGGATGATCTGGAAGGGCACCCAGGTGAACAGGTGCTGCACCGTTTGCAGCGCCTCCTTGGCCAGCGCCTTGTCGTCGATCCTGCGGAAGGGGCCGCCCGTGCCCGAGTGGGCAGCCGGCTGCACCGCGGGCGGCGGCGAGGACGACGGATGGGCGGGCGAGGGGGGCGGGGTGGCGGTCGACGTGTGGCGGGGTTTGGATCCTGAATAGTAGATACAATAAATAGATAGATAGAATTTATTTAGACTGTATAACAAACAGGTCAGTAACCCAGTAGTGTAGAAATATATCTTACATGATAGGAGATATTATTAATAATAATGATAATAATGAATTTATTCATCTTTCTTGATAATACATATAGTTGATATAAGACATGTCAGGGTGTCGTCGTGAGACGATGGGAGGAGTATAGTGATCAGTTTCTCCAGGCGTGAAACCTTTCAGACCTGTTGGCAACCGGGACACTCTCTTTAGAAAATAGGTTGCTGGAGGTGTCTTTTCTGGCACATCCATGCCGTAATAAGAGAATTGTATGAATACCACTAGAGTCCCTGTATGTATTTGACACTTTTGCTGTAATAAGAGTACGGACACTATGACAAGCAGTGACAGAAGGCATAACCCTAAAAATTTTGAAATGACATGAACAATTTGGCGGGCACTGATAGTTCATGAACGTACATGACATAAAATTATTTGAAAATTCAGGTTTTCAAAAATTAAAATGTCTAATTGTGTAGTGGAGAATTGCAGAAATGGAAGCGAGTCCTTTCATTTATTCCATTTCCCCCATTCTAACCAACAGTTACAGAAATGGTAAGAAAATATGAAGCGGCCACTATGGAAATTGAATTCAGGTAGCAAGATTTGCGAAGTAAGTACTCAATATTTAAATATTTCGATTGAATATGATGCATATTCGAAGGAATAATATCATTAATAATTTCAATTTTAACATTATAGGTGCACTTCAAATGTGAAGATTTCATAGTGGAACATACCATCAAATTGAAAGAAAATGCGGAGCCTTCATTCCATCATCAGAAGGATTATCGAAGACATTCCTTATCGAATTCAGGACAATTTTTACGAGGAAAAATTCAAGTAGAATACCAAGATGAAATTAAATGTATTTTGGATGACAAACAAGAAATTATCGAAGATTTAGAGGGAAGATATGCCGAAATTCAAAATTTATTAATAGTAAATAATGAAAGATACAGAAAAAAAATCAAAGAAAAGGACGAACATTTGAAAAATAGCTTGAAGCAAAGAGATTCTGAAACAAGACTGCAAGTTACGAATATTTTGAATCGACTCAAGACCCAAATTGATAGTGTCGGAATATATTTCAACCAAAATTATAGTCAATTCCAGTATTTTAAAACGCGAATCAATGAAATCGATTACAAATTAAAAGATATTCTAAGTGAAGTTGCAATTTATGAGCAACATATTTCTCATAATTCTAAATATAATGGTAATAGATGGAATACAGAGTGTCGAAAAAGCTTTACTTTATAAAATTCATGTGTGGATCATCCGGTTATGAAACATTACTCAAATTTCAATATCAATTACCATCGCTACGAACTTTAAATAGGAAAATTTCAAATATTAATTTCGAGCCTGGTATATTGAATGAATTTTTTCATTACCTAAAAATAAAAATCCAAAATCTTCCTACATGTGAAAGAGATTGTTGTCTTTATTTACTTGTAATCTTTTGCTGTGTGGAAAAATGACAACGAGCGACTCTGGACACAAAAATATATTGTGTAAGCTCTAACGTGCAGCCATCGTCTTTCAGCTAGGCGCGATGGTTATTAGATTGTGAGCATTCAAATTTTATGTTGCCATATTACCCCACTTTACTCGACCATTATTTGAAATTTTGTATTCTTGTCATAGGATATACTATTCTTGAATTATAATCATTATACTTGTATTTGTCGAATTTTCCGATCGTTCATGCCCTATGAAGTGTCTTAGTATGTTATGAGAACAAATATAAGTGTGTTAATTGGTTGAATTGTTCTTCCCATTCATTTACATTCTGCCCATCAGAACTGGCTACTAAATCTTGACTCTATCTATTGAAAAACTAGTGCATCCTAAAATCAAATAAATTGAAGTACATATACCCTTTGTTAAGTATATTGAGAAATACTTTCAACAAATTGATTTACAAACTATGACCCCTTTTCGCCAGTGAGATGAGACGCCACTTCTTTATGAAAATAAAGACAGAGAAAGATATATGGATGTTCACCGCGGCAGTAGAGGATAGACGATCCGAAGTGCATGGAAAAGCATATCCATGTCTTTGTTCAAAAGTCATTTTGAGAATTTGTGGTTAAGCCTTCCGTCACTGCTTGTCATAGTGTCCGTACTCTTATTACAACAAAACTGACAAATATATACAGGGAATTATACATACAGGGACTCTAAATACCACTGATTGAAGTGTAACTTGTTTATTCACTGTCAAGTGATAGGGATATCAAAAAACCTACCCACTACTGTGTGTTCTTCGCAGAGATGCATGACTCTGCGACACTTCCACCCTTCTGTTAAAAAAAACTAAAACGACAATACAAAACACAATCGAAAATTAATTTGCCAATCTTCTTGTTCGACTTCTTGTCACTGGACCTTCATAATCGGGAGAATTTTCATCATCACTCGGGAAGTTTTCCTCACGATCCGATTCTGCTACTGGATTGATGAATTGATCGACAGAACCAACATACAGTCGAAGGTCGTTGATATGAACTTTGACATTGTATCTATCTCTTCGAATCTCATAAGTATCATTTCCAAGCCTTGAAACGATAGTATGAGGTCCAGTCCAAGTTTTCCCTAAGGATCTGTCCTCAGTATATCTAAACTCTCGCACCATGACCTTTTCTCCTCTTTCCCAAACAGCAGGTGCATCTTTACGCGTTGAATAATATTTTGTGCGGAATCATCTCTGATTGACTTCAGCTTCTGTGACTCGTTCTTCTCTTTGTTGTCCAGTTTGCCGTTGTCGGAAATTTGGATTATCCCAATCTCCAGGTTTAGGGAGCTTTTGTCCTAACAATGAAACACTCGGTGGATAGCCAGTGGCTCTGTTAGTTCTGTTGTTGATAGCGAGAAGTATTTCATCAAACTTTTCATCCCATTTATTTGCACCTAAAGTAAATGTTTGAATTCTAAGAGCTTTTTTTAATTCTTGGTTGCGTCTTTCCACTGGGTTGGCCTGTTGATGAAAAATTGGGGTTGTATAGTGTTCAATATTCGAATTTCTCAAAAATGATTTCCATGAATTTTGCAACTGAGGTCGATTGTTTGTGATAATTGACTCAAGGTATCCCATCTGCCAAATACATTTTTTAGGAATTTCAATATTGAGTAAGTTGTTGCGTTAGACACCGCTGTTGCTTCTAACCATTTTGTACAAAGGTCCGTTACTACCAATATGAATATCTCGCCTTGAGAAGTTCTTGAGTATGGTTCCATAATGTCGAAGCTAAGAGTCTGCCACGGTTTTGTTGGAGGTTTCGGTTTGACACATGCTTGAGTTTGAGGTGCACCTGCCATTTGTAGTTATATATCGACGGCAATGTTAAAATTTCATGTTGTTTGAAATGTTCCCTACAGGTTTGCTTGTAATTTAGATTGAAAATCAATCTGATAATTCTTTTCTGTGTAATAAAAAATCTTTTCACATTTGTTAATTCACCCCCACAGAACAATATTATATGATAGATGGGAGTATACAAATGAATAGTAGACTAGGAGAAGATGTTTGATATTGAATACAGTCTTGAGTTGTAGTATAGCATAGTATGCACATTTTATTTTTTTACAAACAAAGTCGATGTTGAAGGACCAACTTACATTACAAGCATTACACCTAGAAATGTCGTTACAACGGATGGAGGGATATCCTCTCTTTCTACTTTCACGGTGAAGTTATTCGTTAATTTATTTTGTTCCTTGAAGAGAACTGCATGACCACAGTCTTAGTAGAATTTACTATCAGGGAGTTTTTCCTGCACCACATAGTGAATTTTCCAGCTAATAGATTGTGCTTATGGACAACAAGAGCGCTGAATTTGAATTCGCCGCCATTTTGTTAATACGAATTTTACGGTGATTTTTTTTCCGATAGTTTCCACGTACAGGTCACGCGAAAGTTTTGCAAAATGTTTTTGGTCACAATAATGCGCCAAATGAATTGATAGTGAGGCGTTTAATTACAAAATTTGAGACTAAATTCCAGCTGATGACGAATGTCGAATTGTTTTCGCAAAACTTTCAGCATTTTTGCAACGTGTTTTTACAATAATTAAACGATGTTCGTTGGAATACTTCTCCATGTTCGTGAATCGCGTGGTCTGTCTGTTAACAAAATGGCGGCTAATTTAAACCCAGTGTTCTTGCTGAGACACCCTTTATAATAATGGAAAATAGGTGGGAAAAGTTAAGTTCGACAATGGGGAAGTTTCCTATATTGAGGTTTTTATCTCACCGTGAAGTTTGTAAAAAATCAATATTTACATATTATTTCTTTTATTCGGATCAAATTTCACTCCAGAAAAAAATTAATAAAAGAAGAACATGGCTCCTCCACCTATGATGTACTTTCTGAAAATCCACATTCACACAGAGTTAAAATGTCTAGATTTCCGGAAATTGTTGAATGAAGTTGATTACTAATGAATTTGATTACTAATGAAGATAAATTATGATATTTTGCGATAGTACCTATATTTTTTCACTATCGTTATAATACAATATGTTATTCATAACATTTCAGTCATTTTTTTGCAAATGAATTCGTTCCTTAAAACGGATCTATTTCCTAGGAACGTTGCAGATTATATCTTGCAACAGCGCCGAATACTTCGAGTCCGTCCACACCACTCAAAATACTGACAGGCACAACAAGAGGCGAAGGAGCCATGGGTCGGCTTCATTTTGTTCTGAGCGATGGCAGGTAGTTAGGAAGGATAGTATCATTGAATGTGGCCAATAGTGATTCACGAGCTCTTACTCGAGATATTTCAATGCATAGATAAAAAAACCATAACCTGTCAGAATGAAGCCAACTAACTTATGCATTCCTGCTCTAAGTGCATTTGTGGTTATGTATATGTGTTTGTTTACCAGTTTTAGTTCTTCTTCTATTCTTTTCATTCGTTTGCTATTCGTTAGGTATTTGCTAGCTATATTCTTCACCATCAGCTATTTTCAGACTAGATTCGGAATATACGTCACAGTTTGCCGCTCCGAAAATTAGAAATTGTTTTGATTTGAAAATGAAAACGACTTGTACTTTATCGCTCGCCAGTCTGTACAGCGTGGACATCAAACTGATCATCTGAAGGAAACTATCCTATTGAGTTAGATTAGATTAGATTAGATTATACTGCAAGGACTCTAACAAAGGGAGAAAACTTGAAGGAGTTTTGAATATATTGGACGTAGTACTCTGGTACATGGATTGAAAAACGATACTGTGACTTCAGTGGAGTACCTAATTTTGATAAGAGTGTCAAACATAGAAAATGTATACTGCATTTGAGCAATTTGTTTTTTTTTTCTAAAGAGCTCCAACAAAAATAAAAAATCTGATGAAGTTTTGAATATATATTTATATTATGAGGGTGTCAAAAATCGAAAATATGTAATTTTGAATTTCTTTGACACCATCCAAAAGTAAAACAGAATTGTTACTTCATGGTGCTAATTTTACTGAGGAGAATTTGAAATCAGTTACAATTTTGATTTTCTTTCAATATTGATTCAACAACAGAGATATCCAATTTTTTGAGGGAGTCATAGTAGAGCACAGTTAAATTGTTTAGTTAAGTATACATACTTACTCTTATGCCTCTTAAGCCACACCACAATTTCAAGTTAATTTGTTGGTCAAATTTTTTATCATATTGCAATATCTCAAGGGTTTTTGATTATCACTAAACACACAAAAAAACACTGCATTTTGGTCAAAAAGGAATTGAGATTCTATGACAACTAGAATCTATAGCAACTATTGTACATACATATAAAATTTGATCAGATTGTTAATAAAAATTTGATTCATTTCTTGAATAGTACCTAGGTACAACTCAAGGTATATGTGATAAAAAATAGGAATAATTAGTTTTAATTTAGTTCTTATAGTTCTATTTCTCACCTAGGTTTTCTAGAATGTTTTCAAGTATTTCAAGTACTTCTGGAATGTGTTGGTGGAGCAGTCTTACAATTTCTTGTTTTCTATCAGAATCTTTGAACATAGCCTGTATTCCCATGAATTCTTCACTAGTCATTCTCAATAAAACAAGACCTATCAGTTGATTCCCATCTGTTTTCAGTAACTATAAATTCCAATGCAGATGATAAATGATGAAAGGAATTCATAAATAGCATTTATCACACTTACCTCCACAATGTTATTGAAAAAATTTGGATAAAAACCTGGCCAGTCATGTCTTGCTATTTCTATGAGTAACTTGGAATATTTATGTCTCAGATAATGGGGAGATATAAGCCCTTGTTCTACAAAACAATTCTGGATTGTGTTTTTAACTTCTTCTTTTGAAGACCACTCAATATTGGACCACTGCTGAGTTATCACAGTCTGAAAATTATCATCAACAATGAACTCATGAAACATAATTCTCCAAATGTTAAGATAAAATTGAGGTTCCAGTCTTAGGAATCCATTTCTTACCTCTAGTGTACATAAGGCAAACATTTTTACATACTGACTGGTAGTATTCATGATGAAATAAACACAGTAGTTTGAAAGGCATGGTAGAGTCTTGAAATAATTTAATTGTGACTCTATTTCATGTTTCCTATTGTTATTGGTCATGGGATTGAAAAACTCCTCAATAAGGTTTTCAAGGGCAGCCAGGGACCCATTTTCTCTCAGGTCCTTTAAAAATATAATTAAAGTATTATGTAGGTTATTGTATACATTTGTAAATGATTATGGTTATCCACTATAATATAATATAGTCAGAAAGATTCATAATTGTTACATATTCATAGGTTCTTACCATTACAACTCTGAATACTTTCAATCCAAGCAATTTGAACAATCCAGTCACATAGTATCCAATACAAAATCCAAGTTTCTCTCAGAATATAATCAACCGACTACAAACACCAACACTCAAAACACAGATAAAATCAAGCTACAAATTCAGAAATCCAAAATCCAGACAGGAAGACTGGGTATTGGCAGACATCCAGATTCCAGATCCAGATTCTGGATTCAGATTTCAGATATCCAAGATACAAAAAAAGTGCGATCTGAAATCTGACGATGAGAAAAATGGAATAATGAGCTGTCATTGAATATTGAAACTGACAATCAGGTGTGAATCTGACATTTCATATGATTCTATAGTTCCGCAAGTCGGACTTATAGCCACAATGAGTATGAAAGATGTGTGAAATTTAGGTGGGTGCACTGCAAACATTAGAACTCCATTCTTCTCACAATTTTCTTTGGAAATTGGAAATTCATATCCTAAGCCATGGGGAGAATCTTTTTTATAAAAAATGAGTGCTAATTGATAACAAAACAGCCACGCGGTCTCTTAGACACATTCATAACAGCATGACATTATTGACATTAACTTGACTTTAACATAACCCTATAATAATTTTTAAAATTTCTTCTTATGAATTTTGAATCTTTTGAACTAATTTTTTTGAAAATAAATGTTGATTTTGAGGCTCCTTGATGATTTTTTATTGAAAAACTGTTCGAGATATTATTGCAGTTCAAAAATTATTATGAAATATTTGAATGTAGCAGAAAAAAATGATGCAGCCAAGAATATCGCCTCTATTTTGTCAAGAGGAAATTCCAACAGGGTAAAAGTATACCGTTTTTCTTCCCCTACGTTTCTGTAATATATTATTTTTCAGCGTGAAGGTATGTCACCATACAATAAAATTTACGAATTTTCCACCCAAGTTTTGGGAGAAGAAGCCAGAATGGTTATGACCTCAGTTTCTGGACACTTGATGAATTATGAATTCACAGGTCAATACAGGATGTGGCACAGTTGCAGTCCATTAGCATTATTTGATGCACCTGTCATGAAAACTTGTCCTCCTGATTATGAACGAATTAAAGTCAGTACCTAGTACCTACCTATTTTCATTGACAATAAACAGGAATACTTTATCTAGGATCTTATTAGACAGGAATTCAACTAAACAATACTCATACAACATGTTCATGGAATCTCTCAGTATCATCCTGGTTATTTCACTTGAGTATATTTCCTGTATCTATTTCCTTTAAATCTTCCATTCTCAAATTCTTTATTTTTCCATTTATTTACTCAATATCTAACATATCCCAACAAGTGTTTAAATAAATGAACAACTGAATATATACTTTTTGATGGACTCTTCAGGATTATTATGTTTTTTTGTATAAATCAGTATTTCATTATTGTAGAAAACTCTGGAAAGGGAGATAGTATCATGTCAAGGATTGATCATTTGGACTGATTGTGATAGAGAAGGAGAGAATATTGGTTTTGAAATAATAAAAGTTTGTACTGACATTAAACCAAACTTGAGAATATATAGAGCAAAATTTTCTGAAATAACTGCTGCTTCTGTATTCAGAGCATTGAATACTCTTGGACAGCCCAACAGAAACATTAGTGATGCTGTAGATGTTAGACAAGAATTAGATTTGAGGACAGGTTAGTTGATATCTATATAAATATCCTCAAAATTGATTATTCTCTCTTTATTTTTTTTTTCCATGATGTTTTTATGCTTTTAGGAGCTGCCTTTACCCGCCTTCAAACACTGAGGTTACAAAAAGTATTTCCCCAAAAATTGTCTGACAAGGTCATAAGTTATGGTTCTTGTCAATTCCCAACTTTGGGATTTGTTGTTGAAAGATACCAAGCCATGGAAAATTTTGTTGCTGAACCATTTTGGAGAATAAAAAGTAAATGATGTATTATCATTAATTTATAGATTTTAACCCACTATCTGAACTGTTTTGAATATGTGATGGTTATTTGTTATTTGTATGGTCTCTTTATCCTCCCTGGGGAATTATTCCTGGGATTTCTTTGGAATTCCTTGAATTTTCTTGAAATTTCCTGGAATTCCTTGGGTGAAGTGTGGAGTATTCCTAGTCTACAAACAACTGGAACTCCTTGAAATTCCTTGGATTTCCTTAGAATTCCTTGCAATGCCTTGGATTTCCATGGAATTCTTTGGATTTTCTTGGAATTCTTTGGGTGAGGTGTGGTATAATCCTGTTGTACAAACAACTGGAATTCCTTGGATTTCCATGAATTTCCTTGTAATTCCTTGGATCTCCTTGGAATTTCTTGGATTTCCTTGGAATTCCTAGGAATTTCTTGGATTTCCTAAGAATTCCTTGGTGGATCTCCTTGGAATTCCATGAATTTTCTTGAAATTTCCTGGAATTCCTTGGGTGAAGTGCGGAATATTCCTGGTCTACAAACAACTGGAACTCCTTGGAATTCCTTGGATTTCCTTAGAATTCCTTGGAATGCCTTGGATTTCCATGAAATTCTTTGGATATCCTTGGATTTCCTTGAATTTCCTTGTAATTCCTTGGATTTCCTTAGATTTTTTTGGGATTCCCTAGATTTCCTTGGAATTCCGTGAATTTCCTTGTAATTCCTTGGATTTCCTTGGAATTCCTTAGATTTCCTTGGAATTCCTCGAATTTCCTTGGAATTCCTTGGAATGCCTTGGATTTTCTTGGAATTCCCTGGAATTCCTTGGAGTTTCTTGGAATTCATTGTGTGAATTTCAGTATAATTCTGCTGTCCAAACAACTGGAATTCCTGGTGTAATTGAAGTTTGGTGTACAGGGTGATTCACCATAAATGTCCCCCTCTCTAGCTCACTTATTTTTGAACCGATTTCAAAATTTGAAATATCATCTCAAAAAATGATTTTCGATAAAGTTTTGTTCTGCTACATCAGAAGATACAGGGTGCTCGGAACAAATGATCTACAGGGTACTATTTAATTTTTTTAAATGAAACACCCTATTTTTCATTGTATTTTTAGATTCTCCCTGAAGAGCTGATTTGATCGATGTATCACACTCGGGGTCAAGCGGGAATGATTACAGAGATATAGGGTGTTCAAAATCGAGATTTTTCAACTTTAGGATTTTTTTTTAGACGAAACTATTCATTATCGGTCAAAACGGCTTCCATGTCCGTACCACAACTCTTGATTTACTATCTACTGACATTTAATAATGGGAACAGATACAGGGTGATCAGAATTCTGAATCTTGAACCACCCTGTAAATGTTTCAATTAAATGTCACTAGATGGTAAATCACAAGTTGAGATAGGGACATGAAAACCTTTTTGACCAATGATGAATAGTTTCGACAGAAAAAAATCCAGAAGTTTGAAAAATCTCGATTCTGAACACCCTATATCTCTGTAAACATTCCCGCTAGACCCCAAGTGTGATACATTGATGAAATCAGCTCTTCAGGAAGAATCTAAAAGTTCAATTAAATACAGGGTGTTCCATTTGAAAAAAGCAAGTAGTAATCTGTAGATCGTTTGTTCCGAGCACCCTGTATTTTCTGATGCAAAGGAAAAAAAAAACCTGAAAAATCATATCAGATTATTTTTCAAATTTTAAATCGGTTCAAAAATAAGTGAGCTAGAGGGGGGGACATTTATGGTGAATCACCCTGTACACAATTTTGACCACGGTTTAGCCCTTGTAAATTACTATTCAGGAATATTATTATAAAGGTCCTTGGTGAATGTTGGCATATCTTGAAATTATGAATATCATCCAGTCAATCAGTGAAATGGACTTTATTATTGTTGATATTATGAATAATATCCAGGAATAGCCATATATTGCATATGGGAATCATTGATAGAAAATAAGCATAGGAGTTCTTGAAAGTTCAAAAGCGGCATGTTTACTTTGGTTTAATTGGTTCACATTTGTTTTTTGTTTCTGCTCATTGGCCATATATCATCAAAACAAGCCGCTCAGAAGTGCATGTTTATCTTCTATGAAACATTTTTTTTTTATTAATTCTTCCACTATTCCTGATGGTAGTTAATTCCATAATATTTCAGTGAGTCATACTGTGAAAGATATCACAACAGAATTTTCTTGGAAAAGAGACCGGCTTTTTGATAAGAATGCATGTGAGGCTATCCTAGATATTTGCAGGGAAAATCCCACTGCAACTGTTGAAAGTGTTGAAAGCAAAGAAAAAAGTAAATGGCGGCCAACCCCTTTGGATACAGTTGTAAGTTCAACAACCCACAAACAGACTAAAATAACATACACCTTGAATTATTAAATCATCAATTTACAAACAATGAACTCAATATAAACACCTGAAGGGATCCTCTGTGAACGACAAGTGAGGAAAAAATATTGTGCAGGTAACCAACAGTGGTTACGGATACACTACACTGTTTTACCACTAACCAAACCGATTTTTTAACGCCTCGACACGTATTTCGCTAACTATGTTAGCATCTTCAGGAGAAGATTAATACTAAATATCCTATTCTAGTGTGCTGCTTATATACTAGGTATATGTTCACCCAACTGTGAAAAATACTAACCGTCAAGTTAATGTTTATCATGGTTGAGTTCATATGTTAATCTTGATTTTTATTTTACTAAACTATATAGAGGGCTATATGGAATAGGTCCATTATCCTTATTCATTACTCTATTACTATTCTTAAATATCTCTAAGCTTTCATATGCGTCTAGATTTCTAATGTTATTAACTTGCTTAACTAATTTGAGGTTAGTAATATGTGTGTTATGATTGTGATTGAACATTTATGTTCGGCTACACAAGATTTATCTAACCTGCCATATTTTAAATGGGCTATGTGTTCTTTGAACCTTGTTTTTATGGGTCGCCTGGTTTGGCCTATATATGTTTTATCACAATCATTACAACTTAAACCTTATCAAGACCCGTATACTTGGGATTGAACGGGATTGGGATTCTTCTAGTGTTCTTTTTATCCACTTGAAAAGTCATAGAATATCGAAGTTTTTTAACTTAAATTTATGTCTACGTATTAATTTATCTACTATTTTGATATCATACATGAATCTTTCTTTGCTCAGAGGAAATTAAATCAATCTGTGTACTAGAAAATTCAAACTTGCCATTTTGTGCTGAAAACAGTGATTGGAGTCATTAGGTATGTATCTAAATGTATTAGTTTCTTTTCTAAAGACATCAATTCAAAAACCAATGAAGTTCTGTCCTCACTTTATTGCCAGTAGATGAAAAAAAAAAAGATCTCAAGTACTCCAATCATTGGATAAAATAAAATTTCTACACCAATCTGCCATTAAGCAACACGAGTGTGAAAGAGACAGGTTACCGTAACAAAAGCTATCTTTGTTGCAGCTGCCAGCTGACACACTCTGTGCTATTCGAGAAACCGGCAGGCCCCCTTCCAGGTGTTTATATTGAGTTCATTTTTACAAGAGATCAATTCTTTGTAGGAAATGGAAAAAACAGTTTCACGAAAACTCAGGATAAATGCTAAAGAAACAATGAGCATTGCTGAGAGACTGTATACTGGAGGTTATATAAGCTATCCTCGTACTGAGACCAATATTTTTCCAAAGGAATTGAATTTAAGTAGTTTAGTTCAGAAGCAGCAAGGTGATGCTAGATGGGGCCCTTTTGCCCATAGAATTATGAATGAAGGTGGACCAACACCCAGGCAAGGAAGAAAATCTGATCAGGTTTGCATGAAAAACAGTAAATATATCTTCCTATACAGGGTGTCCCTAGACCAGTGGGACAGTTGAATATCTCCTGAACCAATAAGAATTTTCCAAATATTATAATTTCACATCATATCGCATTATGAGGGCTAAATTTCTTCAGGAATGACTATATTTTATACGAGGGGCGCAAGAAAGGCTCATAAAATCGAACATCATTTTTTTCGAATGGAACACCCTGTATTTCATTGCATTTTCATATTCTTCTTGAAGAGCTGAATTCAACGACCTAGCACACTGGGGGTCTAGCGGGAATGATTTCCGAGATATAGGGTGTGGAAAATTGAGATTTTTCATTTTTGGGAATTTTTTGTGTCAAAATTATTCATTATTGGTCAAAACGACTCACATGTTTGTGTCTTAACTTTTGATTTACTATTTACTCATGTAATTGAAACAAATACAGGGTGGTGTAGAATTCTCAGTTTCAGTCAGAATTCTTGCAGTTAGTGATCGAGATTTGGGATTAAATAAAAATTATGTGTATTTTAATATGTTCGTTCTTTTGCTATAGTCCATAATTTCAACATATTTTTTTTATTTGTTTGCTTAAGTATATTCGCGGAAATCAATGTTACGAGGTGGCGCTCGGTTCTCATCGTTCCTTGTCAAAGCTACGTCAAAATTAGGGGAAAACAAACTGAATCCTCACTCAATCCCATCAGTGCCATTAGCTTGTGTACTGTGTACTGGTAAGAGTGATAAATTTTTGAATTTCTTGACATTAATTGTCAATATTCGATCGAAAACGCTAATAATGCCTGATGTTGATATTCTTTTGGCAGATATTTTGCTCTATTTAAACGGATAAAGCCGACCAGTAATGGAAGGAGAACCAGTTCCGTGCTAATCATGTGATTTTGTGTGAGGCAGAAGACTTCAACAAAAGGCACATTTTTGAACTTTGTCTACAAACTTCGGCGATGAAATCTTCCCCACATGAAGTAAAATTGGAGTTGGGGTCCAGAGGAACTCCTGTAGAACAATGAATTTGTATTTGTTCATTCAGAGCAGGACAATCTGGGTTGTATACATGTTGTGGCTTTTCTTTTATGTCAATTGATTTGCTCATCATAATTAGTTTGAATTGTTTGAACTATCTCCAATCCTCCACCCGTTCACTGTTCACTAAACTAATAAAAATGTAATAAGGTAAAAAAATTAACCAAATCAACCATCATCACTACCAACAGTGCCAACACTTCATGTCATTGACAAGTTTGACTACAGCTATAGCAAGTTGAATGCAATATAGTCTATGCACATTATCCATAGACAACAGTTTGTTTTCCCCCAGTTTGAAGTTCGTATTATGTAACCTAGATGTCGCCCACTTCGTGAATCTCGCGAATATATACCACTTGTATGTTTTGACTTGCCTCATGTTGTGTAAATGACCTGAAGAGATTAATAAATTATCTATCTATCTATCTTTCATGAGTTTGGATCAGTGTCTGTGATTTTTGTCTTGCAAATTATTTCAGTTTAGAAATCCTTACTGATATGAGTAGAATTAGCAAAATTTGTTACGGGATTCTTTTTTGATGGTTCCCAATCGTCTAATTACCTGATTTCCAGGCCCATCCACCTATACACCCTTTGAAACACGCCCCAAACCTGACTGGCAACGAGCAAAAGGTCTACGAATACATCGTCAGACACTTTTTGGCTTGCATTCACAAAGACGCCAAAGGTTTCGAGACACAAAGTACATAATAATGGTCATATATTAGGTGAATGTCTATCAAGAAAATCGACTTATAAAAAATTGGCACTCTGGGAACGGAGAGACCAAGAGCAGACTGACCCTAGAATAGTTATTGAACATCATGAGTTCGAATCAGTGTCTATGTTACTTCTTGAGTGGTTTTTGATGTCTCGCAAATTATTTTTGTTACGAATTCTTAGCGAACTTTGTTGTGGGATTCTTTCTTGGTGGCAACTAATCTTCTAATAACAAATCTGACGGCAACGAGCAAAAGGTCTACGAGTACATCGTCAGACACTTTTTGGATTGCATTCACAAAAACACCAAAGGTTTCGAGAAACCCTGTACATAATAATGGTCATAATAATATATTAGGTGAAGTTCTATCAAGAAAACAAATTTATAAAAAATAGGCACACTGTGAACGGAGAGACCTAGAGCAGACTGATCTTAGAATAGTTTTTGAACTTCATGAGTTTGAATCAGTGTCTGTGATTTTTTCAGTGTTTTTTGACGTCTCGTCAAAATTTGTCGCGGGATTCTTTTTTGATGGTTCCCAATCGTCTGATTACCTGATTTTCAGGCCCATCCACCTATTCACCCTTTAAAACACGCCCCAAATCTGACGGGCAACGAGCAAAAGGTCTACGAATACATCGTCAGACACTTTCTGGCTTGCCTTCACAAAGACGCCAAAGGTTTCGAGACCGTCGTCAATGTAGATGTCGCTGAGGAGAAGTTCACTGCGAAGGGGCTCATCATTTTGGAGAAGAACTATCTGGACGTCTACATTTACGATAAGTGGAATGCCAAGGAGATCAATAATTATGCAGTGAGGGATACTTTTATGCCGACGATCTTGGACATTGTGAGTATATAGATAATCGGGCGTAACAGAATCATTGTGTACTTACCAATTTTGATCAACACAAATTAGTGATAGATCAAGAAATTTTAAATTTTTGACAGGATTCACTTTTTTTTATTATCACACCAGTGAAACCGTAAGTGGAAAATTGAACATATTGTGACACAGTTACTTGGTTATGGGGGGGTTACTAGCAAACTATAGGGGTTGACGGAAAGACCAGAATTCTGTATTGAGTTGTTACATGTATTGAGTTCTTAATACATGGATAGTAAAGTTACAACTGATTACATGTTTTACAATTGTTCAGAAGGTTAAGTGCATAGTCCCCTCTGCTCCTCGTACAGCGCGCTATTCTGATGACTCAGGATTAGGAATCGCCGTCTGGAGTTCGTACCGCCTATGGTGGGCTGATCGCGACAATATTCATATTAAAACGTGTCGTTTATCAAGTTGATGGGTCAATCAAAATTTCAATCAGTTACCTCTAAAACTAAAGTAGAAAAAGGGGGTGTACCATATGATCCTGTTTCACCTGGTGTATACCATACATGATTCGTATTGTGACATGATCTCATCAAAACTAACAAAAAATATCTGTTATACAATTCGGAGATACTAGCTTTTTAACAGAGCTGGGCAGAGTACTCATGAGTACTTTACAATGAGTAACTTCGTATAGTACTCATAAGTGTTTGAGTATGAATACTTATATGAGAAGTACTTGAAGTAAATGAGTACAACTTCAGAGAGTACTCGTGAAAAATGAGTAACGAGTAATGAGTATGAGTAATGAAAAAAATGATTAGAGACTCCAAGTAGAAGATACTCATCAACTTACCAAAAATAACTCCATAAGACGTAAACGTATTATGCTGACAATAACAACTCACGCCTATCCACTGCACGAAATAAAATGTAGAATGAGGCACGACATTAAAGACATGCTGAGACCTGTCTGTGCGCAGTTGCGCGTTGGTACTCGTACTCGTTACTCGCCAGATGTAGGAACCACAAGTACTCAGAGCTCTAAAAGTGAAAAGTACTAAATTTTTCTCGGGAACTGAGTACGTCAAAATTTAAGTACTCACGAGTACCGATTACTGAGTACTTTATGAAGTTTTTATATTTTATTTTCAAACTCTTATCGTGTGTGTTCAGATATAATTCAATGTTCGTCGTGGCATATAGCCAGGAAAGTAGTTGTTTTCTATTGAATGAACTATAAAAGAGTAGATATTTTCATCACATAGAGAATGCGAATTCTCAATGTATTGCTTCATATAAATATATATCCATTTTTGTATGTTCATAATTTATCTGAGAATATTCCTTTTCATGAGCATTTATTATTATTATCATTATAATTGTGTTTAGAAATATGTTTGAAAAACTGTGTTGCCATTGTAATGTGTTCAATATTTTAATTCAATCACAGATTGTGGATCTGTAATTAATGAATCAAAAAGTCTTGCAATGTATTAAAAAAAGTAATTTTCAATATTTTATCCAATAAGGTTGAAAGTTCAACTACCGCACCGAAATTGCTGACAGAAGCTGATTTGATTGCGCTCATGGAAAAGCATGGAATAGGCACTGACGCGACACATGCAGATCACATAGACAAAATCAAATCGCGAGAATACGTTGGATTACACGAGAACATTTACTTCGTCCCTGGTACACTGGGGATGGGCCTAGTGGAAGGGTATGTATGATAGCTTTATTTTTTTTTATGTGACTTCCAGTCAGAAACAAATTCTGGTATAAGGAAGGAAAGAAGGAAAATAATATAATATTTGAATACATTAAACATACAACATTTACAAATCATTTTATATTTGTGAATAAACATCAACCCTGAAACTGTTGGATTCTGTCCACTCCTCTGGAACTGGAACACCGTAGAAAAGTTGGCGATCTGGCTTTATTTTATAGATATTTTCATGGACTGCTCTTCTGAAATATCAACGATTGTTCCTCCCTTGACAGTCCCCGCGAGATTAACCCGTCGAGTTGAGGCTTCGCACCCTTTCGTGGTCACTTTGGAGACCTGCAGAACATCTCTTTCCAAAGACTCGTTCATCCAACGAACAGCGAGGCTCTGGAAAACTTTGCCAAGGGAGGTGTTCTCCGAGGCATAAAACCTCCAGAATTTTAAGAAGAACACCAATTCCTACCTTATTTTTCTTAAACATTACAGGATATCCCTTTTCGTGGGAACCAGAACATGAAAAAAAAAATTAATCGGAATCAATTGAAAAAAAAAATCATATATTTTGTTCATAAATGATGAATTTTTCAAGTTCATATTTGAATTTGCTTGTATTTCTGCAATTTTTTATATTATCTGGTAATTTCTTATTTGTTATATTCAAACAGAGCAGCGTGGGTGAATCTTTTTTGTCCTATAGCAGAATTAGATCGGGGAACCACCAGATTGCCGTATTAGCACGCGATATTGATCTACTGATCTACTGCATAATCTACTGAAAAAAAATTGAAGGGGCAAGTGGAAGAAGGGGTCAAGTGACATTTTCTAAAAATATTCGGTCATGTCATAAAAGAAGGTGTTACGTGCATATTTAACTTGTCCCGTCGGAATTTGTTTCTAGTCTTCATACCTGAGCAGATACACAGTGGTAAAAGGGGCTATGTTACATTGAACATCAAGAACGCAATGGAAGAAGGAGCTATGTGCCCATTGCCTACATGTCATGAAATGGAAGAAGGGGTTATGTACGCATAAATCCAGATATCTATCAGAAATGTCTATCAAAAAATGATATGGACCTTACTGAAACCTATTTTTCTGACGAACTAATATTTGTAACATAACTCCTTTTTCCACTTGCCCCTTCAATTATGACACTTATTTATTATTATAATCACCTATTAACATTAATCTTCAGTTAATCACATAGACTCATAATATCTTGGGTGATATTTGGGCACGCTCTGTAAATACATTTTCTGGCGTCTCTGATTATAAATTAGAATGCGTCTAAGCGCTTGATATGTTGGTAAAAAGTACTCACTTTTATCGCGGGAAAAAAGTAATTTTATGAAAAGTGAATTTTTTTTAACTACACTACACTGTTTTACCACTAACCAAACAGATTTTTTGAACGCCTCGACACGTGTTTCGCTAATTATGTTAGTAGCGAAGATTATCTTTCCAATAACGTGACAGCATAAAAACTCCATTTATTCTCGACGTATCGTGAAATGGCGGCCATGACGTTACGTTTGAAATGAGCTCTGAGATTCAACAATTTTGAAAAACGCATAGACTTATTATTTACATAAAAAAGCGTGTTGCAAAAATTAATTTAGGTCCCTAACGACACAGTGGAGTAATTCTTCTTCTTCTCTTTGGGTTTATGGAGTTCTATCTCCTTTCGGTAACAATTTCTCCAGATCAGGTAATTAATTTTTTTTTTTCAATAATAAATACTTGGTTATGTAATAATATTATCACTCGACTCGCCACATAAGACACCGATTGTCTATCACAATGGCCTGAAGCCGAATCATCAGTGTACATAAGATTCGATCGTATGTACTCCTCTTATCCAGCAAATCTGTTGCTGATCCGGCCTGGTTACCGGCGTAGAGATAAGACATAGAGATAAGACATAAGACACCGATTGTCTATCACAATGGCCTGAAGCCGAATCATCAGTGTACAGTGTGTCCAGTTTTCGATGCTTTTGTGTGATATCTCAGTTATCTTTCGAGATAGAACCTTCCGGTTTTCGTGGCCCTGTACCACTTTTCTGTGAAACTCAAGATGGCCTAATCAGATTTCGCATAACTATGTGCCTTTATGAGATAGAGGGCCATTTTGAAAATTTATACTTTTTGGACCCCCTCTATATCTACGAAGTTTCTCAGCGAAAATGTCAAATTGGAATCTCATCCCATACAGAATTTTGCGCAGAATTCAGTGGCACACTCAAATTTTTTTTCTGGGTATGGTTTCGGAGATACGACTCAAACTTATGATTTTTCAAATGGAACACCCTGTATTTTATAAGCTCATTAAATTCCTTATTTTTTCCCCATCAAAATGAAATATGATGAATATGTATAAAATTTTCAAAAATGCTCCAAAATCATTAAAACATTGAATTTTAATAGTGGGCTATGGATTTTTCATTTAAAAAAAGTTCCAATTGAAGAATATTTCAATTGATTCTTCCATGAAAAGGACAAAAACAATCCCAACACTAGTTAATTAAGATAACACAAAAATTAGGTACCTGATAGCAACAAATGAATGGTAATAAAAAGTTCATATTCTAGAATAAGCACCTGATTTAATATTCACTAAGACAATTGAATTTCGAAATCAATCAGTAACTTATTCATTGAATTGTTCAAATTGATATCCACTTTCCCTCACATGCTTTCTCAATACGTCTTAATGCATTCAAAATCATTAAAGTATGTCTTTGTAATTCCTGTAAAACTGCCTCTGTTGTTGCACGAAGTTCTTCAAGATATTTGTGACTCTTACTGTAACAAGACGTATTGAGAAAATCTGTCAATTGTGTGTTATGGAAAATTGACATCAATTTGAACAATTCAGTGAATAAGTTATTGAATAATTCCGAAATTCAATTGTATTTGTAAATATTCAATCTGGTGCTTATTCTACATTATGAAATTTTTATTACTATTTATTTGTTGCTATCAGGTACATATTTTTTGTGTTTTCTTAGTTAATTAGTGTTGGTATTGTTTTTGTCCTCTTTATGGAAAAATCAAAATGAATATTTCTTCAATTGAAACTTTTTTATAAGAAAAATCCATAGCCCAAAATTAAAATTCAATGTTTCAGTGATTTCAGAGCATTTTTGAAAATTTCATATACATACATTATAAATCATTTTAAAGAGAAAAAAATAAGGAATTTTATAAAATACAGGGTGTTCTATTTAAAAAAACATAAGTTTGAGTCGTATCTCCAAAACTTTACCCCGAAAAAAAAATTTGAGTGCGCCACTGGATTCTGCGTAAACTTTTATATGGGATGAGATTTAAATTTGACATTTTTGCTGAGAAACTTCGTAGATATAGAGGGGGTCCAAAAAGTATAAATTTTCAAAATCGCCCTGTATCTCATAAACGGAAACAGTTATGCAAAATCTGATTAGGCCATCTTGAGTTTCACAAAAAAGTGGTACAGGGCCGCGAAAACCGCAAGGTTCTATCTCGAAAGATAACTGAGATATCACACAAAAGCATCGAAAACTGGACACACTGTACATAAGATTCGATCGTATGTACTTCTCTTATCCAGCAAATCCGTTGCTGATCCGGCCTGGTTACCGGCGTAGAGATAAGACATAAGACACCGATTGTCTATCACAATGGGCTGAAGCCGAATCATCAGTGTACATAAGATTCGATCGTATGTACTCCTCTTATCCAGCAAATCCGTTGATGATCCGGCCTGGTTACCGGCGTAGAGATAATGGAGCACGTTTGACTTCCAATATGGCCCCCTTATCCGATGAATCCGTCATCATACGGCCTCTATACCGGCGTAGAGATAAAAGAGCCTGATATTTCTCACACACACTTATTAAACTTCACATCAAATATTGGATTTCAATCCAGATCAGGTAATTGGAAAATTTTGGACTTGTACACACATTAACCTGACTTTTGGATAAACGCCATGTTTCTCCTACCTTGGCCGAAAGTCGAATCCAGTGGAGTAATTGAATGCCAATAATTCATCTGTCCACTCGCCCATTGCGATTTAAGTTCTGTATGAACCACTCAGTTTAGATTTCTAGGGTTGCATTAGGTCGTGCATGAGTCCATCTTTACTCATTTCAGCTTCAACAATATGGGAATGGAAGTGTTTCTGGCGAAACCGACCCTCAGAGAGGAATTCTAGACCGACTTGAAGCAGATCTGCGACGGCCTGAAAGTTCCCAAATTGGTCAGACCAGAACAGATAATTGAGCTCTTTTCTACCTTGAACGAGAGAGAGGAAATTTCTCTCCTCATCCACCATTCTCTTCAATGCTACCAACTTGACCACATTGAAATATAGAGAGGTCCGATAAACCTTTCCTTGTCTAACCTCTAGTCTGCGCCATTGAACTATGTTCAATGTTATAATAGGCCTGTTCCTTTGTGCTTGCTCTACCTGCTGAAATTGTTTGTTTTTTCTGACTTTCTCTGTTTACATCATATGCCATATGAACAGAGGCAACTATGGAAAACATTCAACTTTAGCAAGTTCAGCAATACAAACAGACACATTTCACTTGGACTTTCAAATTCTTTGGAAAGAACCCAATGATTCAGGTTCACTTCTAGTGAGATATTTCAGTTAGTTCAGATTATAATGATGTGATATGTCTGTAAAGATATCAAAGATATTCTCAGATAATAATTTGATAGATGAGTAGAATATTGAGTGAAGTTTTATTCTGTAAGTTATTAATTATAAAAGTCATGACAACAACAACTAGTATATACTGAGTATATATCACACGCCCTCTCTTCATAAATTCATAATTTTCGGGACTCTTGGAATTCTTGTAGATCGACGAAGACCGCAACCATCAGGCTCTGCCAAGACTCGACTTGATTCTGCTTCTATCACTGAAGTCAGTTTGTGTTCATCCGAAGTATGATTTTCAGAGTTAGGAATATTTCTAGAATTTTCCACACTCTCCATGT